TATTTAGTTAGGTCTTTTTTAGGGTTAAATATATACTTATATATCTAATTAGGTTAGTTCTATTCTTTTTATTCTAGTCTAGTTAGTTCTTGTTGTTCTTATATTAGTTCTTATTATTTAGTTATTATTTTATTATAAGAAAAGGTTACTACTATATTAGTAATAAGAAGATTAGTAGTTTAATTTTACTATAAGGTACTATTAAAACTAAGTAGGATATTAATATATAAGGTAGTAGGATAACTAGTATATATATAACTAATCTAAATAACCTTGCCTAAAGGTCTTATTACTAGTGTACTCTAAGCACCTATAAACATAAAAGTAACTTACTAACCCTTATCTAAGAAGATAATAACGTTAATTAATAAACCTTAGTCTAATTAGGGCTATAGTTTGTTAATTAAACGTCTATTTTTAGTTAGTAGTTAAACTTAGTTAGTAATACTATTATTACTAAGTAGTATAGAACTATATACAAAAGGTCTTATTGTTTAGTTATATAGTTATAAGGTAGGCAGAGTGCTTAATTAGGCTAAAAAGGCCTAATTAGGTATATAAGATTAAAAGAATATCTAGGATCTATTATATTACTATAATAATAAAGTTATAGTTAAAGGTAGAGGTTAACTTATAGGTATTAAATTCTATGTTCTATTTATCTTGTTAGTCTTAATTAGTATTTAATGTCCTGATTAGGATAATTAAGGCTCTACTGCCTAGAAAAACACTTGCAAAAACTGCTTAAAGAAAAAAAAACCTGAAATCCTGCCCCGTTCTAATACCCCTGCTTACTTTCTAATCTAAGAACTATCCCTGTTTTACCTAGGAAGATAATTTCTACCTCCTCTATAATAATTTTATCTATCTTATAGAAGCTCTATAATAGCTAGGATAAGATATATAAATACTTAACCTCTTTAATATAAATAGTGTATATTATAAACTTAAATATAGGGCAAGATCTATTAACTATTACTATATTAAGAAGTAGAGGGCGTATATAATTAATAAGGTCTTATGTAGCTTTTGCGTTGTCTTTAGTAGGTGCCTAAGCATTAGAAAGAGAAGTATAAGCTAACTTTCTAGGTATAACACCTATTAATAAGGAGACTATATTAATCCTTATTAATACTATAGATCTATATAATCCTAGTAATACTATACTTATACTCTAAGACTATATTACTAAAGTTTAAGAGCTTATAAGGAGGCTTACCTTAACTAGGCTATATCTTAAGGTTAGTGGCCTAAACTTTTTTAACTATTTCCTTATAGCTCTTATAAAGGTTAGAAGTCTATAACACTGCTTTCTTAAGGTTAATTAGTAAAGTAAAGTTAACTACTTGTTTTCTTATAAGATATAGCTTAAGCTTATTAATTAGCTTATAGGTAAGTATTATAATAGTAATTATAGTAATAATAATAGTAATAACAGTAATAGAACTAAGTTATATCTACTAGGTTACTTATATTAGATTTAGGTTACTTACTATAACTACTTACAAGACACACTACTGTTTAAGTTTTATAAGCAAGTATTAGCTTATTAAAGTATATAGGCAAGGCTAGAGAGCCTAGGAGAGCCCTAGAACTTAAGTTATTAATAAGGTAATCTTTTTTTATAAACAGTTAAGAATATAATATAAAGGTAGTAAGTGTTATAAGATAGTAGGTAGTCCCTCTATAGAGCTAGTAACTATCTGCCTATTTAGCACTATAACTCTAGAGCTATAATACCTATAATATTACCTACTTTATAGTAAATCTAATAATACTAGATAATTACTAAGGTTAATAATTAATAAGTATAGCTACAACTACCTATAAATATTAAAATAGGAGCTTGTTAAAGGTCTAGTGTCTAAGTAAAGAAGTTAACGATAGGGTAACTTAGCTAGTTATAATAGGTAGGTCTAGTAGTATAATAGCATTTAAACTAGCCTAGTACAACTATTGTAGACCTAGATAAGGAGTTTTTTTTTTATTTATATAATTAGTAGGGATTAACTAAACCTAGCACAGTTGTAAATAGTTTTAACTAAGGGTAATAGGCTAAGTCTATAGCTAAATGCTAGCATCTGCAGGACTGATTTTCTAAACAAGGAAATCTAATAGCACGTAGATACTGTATGTCTTACCCCCCCCTCCCCCCCCCCCCCCCTTGTGAGACATCTTGATACATCACGAAGCAACTAGAAAAGCAGACTCCGGCAGCCGCGACGGGATGTTTTTGACGACGCATTTTCGAGTCTACCAAGCCCAACGCCATCGAGCAGGCCGCTGACAACTTCTGGTCCGCGGTTGGAAACACCGAGAGCGTTGCAGGTGGCAAGCCTGTGTTCATTACTGAGACAGGGTGGCCGCACAGTAAGTCAAACCTCACAGCCCTCGTGTCTCACGGAAGTCGTTCAAGGCCTCGGTGCTAATAAGCCTTTCAGTCGGCCCTCAGCAAGGCGCTGCCGTTGCTTCCGTCGACAACGCTCATCGGTACTGGTCTCAGGTTGGCTGCGCTCTCTTTGGACAGCGCAATGTCTGGTGGTACACCCTCGTTGATGCCAACACTGCTCAGACTGACATCTCTTTTGGTGTGACGCCGGTTGGCAGTAGGCAACCTGTTTTCGACTTGACCTGTTAATTAGATCCTGCAAGGACTGAAGACCGGAATGCCCAGAGGAACTGTGTGTGTTCAGCGTTGAGTACATAGATCAGACTGCTACCTAGACAAAGGTTTTAATGATAATCCTTCTTCAAATTTCATTCAAGCGCAAGAATATCGTGGAATGTCTTTGCTGGTGTGTTGAAGTGGCCAATGAGTCTTGCTTTCGGGATGCTTGGAGGGACAAGAACCTCAGTGTTATGTTAGATTCCGTGTGACTTTTCAGCAGTCGTGGAGGTCCATGCAGATCGCGCGTAGCAGAATCATTCCAGAGGGAGTAATTATACTGGCCCGCCTGAGTATGCTTCCAATTTGCCCATTCTACGTTTCTTGTCTTATTATGGTAGCCAACCCATATCTGAGATATTGGAGATATTTCAGCTTTGGAATAACCTCCGTCAAAGACGTCTGGGTCGTAATATGTAGGACTGGTACTCAATATTGAAGAGTTTTGATATCATCATTATCTCCGTATCCCTCCGAATTGACCCAATGTTACTTGCCACTTATGGAAGACAGTGAATTGAAGCTGGGTATTACTCGCTCATTTACAAAGTCACTGAGCATCTAGGGGCCTCCACGTTTATGAACCAAGATACTTGCAATTTCTAGGACTAAAATAAGGACAGTCTACATATATGCAGTACGGATAGACTCGTTTTTTCAACTGACACCAATACAGTCAATTGTGCAGTTAAATTAACTCTGAAATTAGCTTTGGTTACGCCGGCCTTCCCCCCTTGTCCGTCTACGCCTTCACTGATGGTACCTACCATCGTAAAGCTCTGACAAATATCACTCACTTTGATAAGGCTGTTAAACTCATAGGGTTTGGCTTTCATAAGAGGATTAAACCGAGCTAATGCGTATCATTGCCATGGTTCCTGTTCGTATCTTTAGCATACTTGAGCTCTGTTAGAGCGAAACGTAAATCAACGCCACAGCCGATTCCGCCGTCAAGCACATCACGAGAAAGATATCCTAGTGTAGTACATAGAAAGATAATACACTAGCAGATTACGTGAGGACGAGGTCACTAGCAACTTATTTTCTTCCGTGATAGGGAGCTCATGCGTAACCAAAGCGTTTTGTTCTCGAAGCGAACAGTGGAGATTTGCCTAGCGACTGCCCACGAATCAACAGCAATGTATAGCTTATGTAGATTCTTCTATCGTTCGTGCAATAAATTATTTAATTCGATCTGAGTCATTCTACAGAGTATATCTCTCAACTCCTTTTCAGACAGCTCGTCACTCATGAACTAGTTCAAGCGGTAGAGATAATCTGCGACGCATTGATGCTGACAGAACCATTTCTGAGGGTAGGCTCTCCCACCACGACGACATTGTTCAACCAGTAGTACTTCTCGCTTCCGGTCTCCGGCGTGATACGTGTCACGGGATGTGGGCCGTTCTGTACGCCGGGCCCATCAGCGTGTGCCAGGATATTGGCACCGTCGTCTGTCTGGAACTGGTAGTATGCGTTTGCAAAGAAGGTCCCTTTGCCGTCAACGAGACCCAAGTCAGCCCCCACATTAAGAACCTTGCCTGAAGTGCTGTATTAGTTTTGGGTCTCCGCGAATCTGCAAAGTCGGATGCATTGAATACATATCAGACAGCTTTTGTCCAAAGAACTCCCCACCCGTGATGGGGATAGACAGTCGAGTTCCTTTGGGACCAGGACCGAACGAGAGAGCATCTCCAAGGGTAAGATTCAGTTGGTAAAGAAGTTCTAGCTTAGGTGCGCCAGGGGACACAGGGCTAGCAGTCACTTGGTCAATCAAAGAGAGCAGAAGGCCAACAGAGGCAGAGGTAAAGAATTGCGAGAACAGCATTTTGATGAATATGTTTGAGAGTGTACGTGGCGGTTTCTAGTAAGGGACCAAGAGTACTGAGTTGAGCTGGGATGAGATGGAAGTGATGACACCCTGTGCATCTGTGATCCTCCTTATGTACTTTTTTACAATATATTGTCGATGAGATAGGCGCCTTCATATTTCTTACTGTCATGAATGAGGCACATTTGCTAGACTCTGACGCTGCGCTCTAAGCAACGGGCAAAATTTAGTCCAGCTGAGTGCTTGGCAATCAGCTTGCAGGCTCGAATGATTGCTACAGTGCCAACTATCACGATGCCATCCCGATAGTCTGTCGTCGGCTCGCCTTGTTGAAGGGATCGGTTCCAAATGCTAATTCAAAGTGTCCAACAGCATTACTCGCCGACATCTGAATGGGATCCGAGAGGCTGTGAAGGCGACGGGGAGGAAGGAAACGATGAGGCCAAGCGCGCGGGTTCCCCCGCGATTGCGGAGGATCGGGTCATGTCGCGAGTTAGAGCACACAACAGGGCATATGAGGATTTAGGTCTAAAAGGCTTATTTCTATGTAAGTGTAAGTAACGAAAGTGAGGTCCTATATTTAGGGAAGTGAATGTGAAACACCACGTGCCACAGCACCTGACAGGGCTGTTACAGAAGGTGGAAATGCATGAGGCTATCGTGACAGATCAGGAGGATGGCCGCGCGGGATGACGTGAGATTTCAATTTGACGAGCTGTGGCGGATACTAGGCAATATCCTTCCCAGAGACTGATGCGATTCTATGTTCCAAAAAAGGCATCTGATTACGACTTGGGATACAGAAGGTGAAATCGGCCGGTCTCTTCCTTTTCCTGCGTCAACTGCCTATATCCCTGTCGTGTAGTAGTCAGAAGACCGAAAATGGGCACCGTGTAGTTTCCACGTGCGTAGTATTTCCGCATTATTGGTCTAAATTCGTGAACCCTGCATCCTTGGCTCATACAAGCCGCCTCCACAACAACTCACCAACTAAGCAGCTCACATCCTTGAACCGCAATGCGTAGCTCACTACGAACCGCTTTCATCCAATGTCGAGGTGGAATTCTGTCACAGTTGATCCCCGTACGACCCCGCCACCTCATGCCCTTCTTTAGCCCCTTTTCCATGCCAAGCTGTAGTTTGACGTCGGCCACGGCGGTGTGCTCGCCACAATTTTCATACAAAATGCGTAGCGCTTTTCTTGTATCATGGTGTTCTCTCCTGCACACCAACTTTCACGTCCATTGAAAGAACATTTCCAAAGCAATCACTATGGATTTGAAGAGTCTATTGATTTGCATCGCGGCATTGTCGGCTGTAGGGGACGCTGCGACTGCGGGCTCTCGGGATTTCGACTACAGCGCACTTAGTTTGAGAGAAGTAGGTGCCCGCAACACAAAGGTAAGCGGCTCAGCCAACCCTTTTTGCGCTCATGTTGTACTGACAAAAACTGCAGGATTGGAGGATATGGCTCGAAAAGGACGGAGATCCCATTTCCTTTTGGCATGACGTACCTGTTTGGCCCGACGAGAGCAACAAGCAAGTTGTGAATTTGGTCGTTGAAGTACCTCGCTGGCAAGATGGCAAAATTGAGCTGAAGAGAGATGAGCCGTTGAGTAAGTCTGCAGTCGATTGAAATAAGTTACTGGGTCTAAGCTCATTGGATTCTACTTAGATCCCGTGGCTCACGACTCGTTGAACGATGCTCCCAGATTTGTCGAAAGTGTTTGGCCCCATAAGTCGTACCCATTCATCTATGGATCAATCCCGCAAACCTGGGAGAGTCCCAATTACAAGCATGGCTTTACCGGTTTGATCGGAGACAATGACCCGGTGGATCTGTTTGATATCGGCCAAGAGTAAGAGAAGACATGCAAGGTCTGGACCTTATGACTCAACTGACACAACACCCAGTCGTGGCTATGTTGGCCAAGTCAAGCAGGTTAAGATTCTCGGTGGTCTTGCGCTGGCTGATGTAAGTTTCAATCATTTCAAATTGGTGCGATTCTTGCTGAAACAGATCGTAACTAGGGCGACGAGACGGACTGGAAACTCATCGCTATTGATACGAGTGATCCTCTCGCACCACTTATCAGCTGTAGGTGTACATTACTCTAGTTTGGAACCAGAAAGCACTGACTCGCCCTAAGCGTACGAAGACGTCGAGAAATACCGTCCCGGAACTATCAAGGCCTTCCGTGATTGGTGGACCGTGAGTTCTGTTCAGCGACGTCCTTACCTCGACCCACTACTAACCAGTATGCAGCATTACAAAGTAGCCCGGGGAGATGCCGTAATCGACATCGTCGGTGACTGGTACCAGAACGTAACCTATGTCAAAGGCGTCATTGAAGAAAGCCATAAGACATGGGCTGAGCTTATTGGAGGCCAAGTTGACTCGAATGAAATCAACTACAATCAAACTTCACGTCCAGACGTCAAGAAGAGTTTCATTGACAAGAGAATCACTACAGAGAGTTTCGGTATTCCTGCCCAGAGCAGGATCGAACCTCCGGCACCGAGGCCAAAGAAGTACGACAACTGGTATTACCTGAATACCAAGTCCAGTCTCAGCTTGTTGCCGGAGACTCAGCATGTATTTCTCAAACAGACTTGATGTCTTCTTGTCAAAGAAAGTTTACATCTGGAATGGAAAAAATGTGATGAGATTCTGTTTGATATCAGACGAAGCCTGAATGAATAGCCTACAAATTATCCTATTTCTCGACATGCTCTTCATTGCATCATGGCAGTACTCTGTGTCGCGCGAATATTGGAGTGATGAGAGTACAGATGTTAAATATAATAGAACACTGTTGAGCAACGGTCATCCTCAGACTTATTTCCGCCCATTTGCTCTGCAACGATTTTCCATCACTCCCTTCTTTTCCCTCTTCAAACGTGGAGACCCTGCCCCCATGCCCCACAAATTCCCGCTGCCCTACCCGCAAGTTTAATTCTGACTTTTCCCGGATCTGACTGAGAGTTCCTAATCTGTCCCATTCCTCATCGTCACCTTTGGCACTCAACCACTCTCCGGCCGATGATAGTTGACAGGTCGTTGTGACCTTCTTGGCACATTAATCATCGTTGGCGTCAACAACTGTGAGGGTTGGTCATTGTGCGTATAAGGGATTTGAAGCTAACGGGTTCCTTCTAGGCCGATACTGGTAGCCCCTTCACAACGAAGTCGTTCTGACTCGCTGCCGATAAGGTTCAGCTGGACATGCAGGTCGACAACTCGCAAGTGACACCAAATCAATTCAGTACTAGTATGACGGCATGGACCTCCCCGTCAGTCAGTTAGAAGACGCCCAGATGCAAATCGAGCACAGTCACACCCCTCTCAGCGCCTTCATTAGCCAAGGTTCACCCGTCTTACATGATGACCCAGCTACACCCCAGACAAAGACCCCGAATCCAACCAGCCCGAACAGAGAATTACCTGCTCCGGCTACTCCAGTTCAGTCTTATGGGCAAGCAAGAGCCAAGAAAGTGCAACAAAACGCTCGCGAAGCGAGATGGATTGCTCGCAACAGCGCCAACGAACCCCCAAGTCCGGCAACTCTCAATTCGTTGCACATGACCCGAGGCGGCATTGAAAAAAAGACGTCCAAGAAGTGGAAAAGCAGGGCCACAGAATCAAAGCTCTCCATAGAGTTGGACCGCCTTCTTGTTGGCAACGATGCATCCGCTACCTCGATACAGCAATCCCACGCTATATACCGCATCCAGCACCCCCTTCGAGCAGTGCTTCATAGCCTTCCGGGTTTCACCTACGATAACGAGCTGGACAACGTCACGTTTAGGAAGCACAAACGTGTTCTGTTTGGGATCGAAGGCCTCATTGAGGAAGGTGGAAGAGACGCTGCCAAGGAATGGCTCGAGGGCTTCCTTCTGCTTACGTTCGAGACAATGACTAAGATCTTGAAGAGCTTTCCAATATGCAAGGAGCTAGACGATGTACCCAATGGATTTTTGATTTTAGCCAGGGACGTGGAGATGGCCGTCTGTAAACTGCCCTGCCAGTCTGTCATGAGACCCCGACGAGCCATGGAGAGGCGTCTATGCCAGAGTTATGACTTAAGGAGGCTAGTAGAGTGGACTTTGGCAGCACGTCGACGTTTCCTGGAGTCAAAACCTAGAATTATGCCCGGGTTCGGTAAATTTGGGCAGGTCGTAGCGGAGAAGGGAACTGCTTTGGAAGAGCAATTGTGGGCTGTCGTCGATGCCCGAAGGACTGATACAGTGAACTCGAACTATTTTCATTAGGGTATAAAGGGAATTTACATATTAGAAGATGGTAGGCTGTGGCTGTATCGTATAGACAAGCGCAAAAGACTCAAGTCTAAAAGTAGTCCATGTTGTCTTCATCAATATTGAAGGATAGAAACTTGGTTTGATCTCCATGACTGCGGCTCAGGGCTGAAGTGTACGAATCATTGATCCACATGTCTTGGTGAAGCCATTTAAGCCACACACTGAGGAGGGCATAGATTTGGAGCAACCCAATACCCCTTCATATGCTTCAAAATTTCCAGGTGAGCGCTAATCTTCAACCCGCCAAAGTCTCACTAGAATGTCTTACTCATACGGTGGGTATAGTAGGCATATGCTGTGTTGTTGTTATACCTATAGGTTGTGATTTAAATTATTCTATCTCCTCATTCCATCTGGTTCAATTAGTCCTTGATCGAAAAGGCTTCTCGTGCTGTTCTGCTACTCCTTGCGAGACGGTCTCCAAATTTGATAAAAACGAAAGGAATTACGCCCATTGCTAAGGCGACGAAGCCCAGGACAGAAGGTGCCCAATGGACTCCCAAACTGGCGTACATACTGTTGGCCGCAAGTGGCAGTAGGATAGCACCAATCGAACGCGTCATACTGGCGGCCGCATGCGCCGATGCAGAGTACTGACGGAAGACATCTGTCAGATAGTTTATCATACCCATGAAGAGCAGGTTGAATCCCCATCCAAAGAAGACTCCGCTGAGCATGGGCACGACAGGAGACGTTGAGGGCCATACGGTCCATCCGAGCCAGAACATAGCTATTACCATTCTAGCAGGAACAAAGTCAGCAACAGCTCTAGTAAACATCTCAGGCGTGGGGAGAATGAAGCTTACAAGGGAGCAGCCACGCATGCCAAAGGTAACCTGCGGTTGATTGGGTCTTGAGCCCACTTGGCCCCAGCCTTCTTTTCGCGATCGTGATACCAGGTCCAAGTCCAAAAGGTGGCAAGAGCCAATAAGATCCCGACAACCACTGACAACGTAATGTTAGCACCAAACATAACTTCATCGGTCCAGCGCCGACATCTTACCTGGCAGAAATGCAAGCCCGGCCATACCCGGCGATAGACCATAAAAGCCCTGAAATATGACTGGGTATGCTTGGAACAACAGGTAAAACACGGCATAAACAAGTGTGAGGTAGGCGGAAGTGAACAGTAGAATGGGTTCGGTAAAAAGAAGCTTCATGGGGCGAAGAAAGATTTTTCGGACTTCGAAGGGCTTCGGCTCAAGCTGCTGCTGCTGCTGCTGCTGCTGATTTTCCCCTAAACTGCCGTTCTTTTTGCTCTGCCTCTTGGCAGCTTTGTTGTGAAGGACAGGGGCGTACGTCTCGGGCAGTGTAAGGACAAGAGGCAACCCAGAGGCAGCCAAGATTCCGGCAATCCAAAACGGCCAGCGCCACGAAACCTGAGACGAGAAACCCGAAACAAGTGGTCCTATGAGTGGGCCAACCGTTGTGATAGTCATGTATACCGCTATCGCGTTTCCCCTGACAGCTGGGTTGTCGAGAATGTCGGCATAGAGCCCACCGATCACAGTCGTGGGCGCAGCCGCATTGATGCCAGAAAGGAGGCGGAATACGAGCAGCGACGGGTAGTTTGGGGCTCCCGCACAGGCGAGCATAAAGATCAAATATCCCAGATACGTCCCAATGAGCACTGGGCGTCTCCCAATGTACTCGCTGAGGGGCCCGAACAGCAAGGGACCAAGAACGTATCCGCACATGAAGAGCGAGTTGAGGAGAACAAGATGGATATGGTTGGATACGCCGAAGTTCTCGCTGATGGCATCAAGGGCACCTGAAGGCATCGATGAACCGAGATTGCCATTGAAAGTACAAGTAAACCCGGCGACAATAATGTGTAGTTTGCGCATCTAGCATAGCGTTTGAGGTTAGCATTAAGTCGTGGAAAACATTCCGAACAAGTCTCCCGGATATAGAGGAAACATACTGGTGATAGCTTGGTGGCATCTACCAAAACATTTTCCTTCTCAGAATAGGATGAATCGTCCGAAGTGTTACCATTCTTCTCTATGTCTGTCATTGTTTCGTTTTTGATAGGAACGTTATTGTCGCTTGGAACCACGTCTGAATGCTGATCCATTGTTTCCATTGGATATTTCGTTGAAGGGTTATTGCTTTGGGATATGCCGTGCTTGAGAACTGATAGCAAAAGTTGTCCTTCAATAGCGGGCTCCTCTATATATATGTCTTTGTATATATGTCGGTTATTATTCTATTTCTCTTTCTTCTTTTTCTTTTTTTCTTCAAGATCACATGTCTACACCGCATGTCAAAAATCTCTAGATTCTCGAATGATTTACGCATCTGGTTCCATATTAGTCTACACTCGAAGTGTAGTCACTACTTTCTGGCATTGTTCTCTCGCTACTATTGGTTGAATTGACCGAAGGCGCCGCACACTGATACCGCAGCTCGGGAATGTTTGCAGTTTCCGGGAAAGATTGTATTTATGTAAGCTTGTAGTTTTTGGCAAGCTGGCTTTGATTGGCCATAATTGCCGACATCGCTTGCGATAACTCCCCCTAACTTCCGAGCTTTCGTAGTCCATCCTGACTTCCGGCTTACACCACACTCTTTGCATCTCCCCATCAGCCACAGAGTCCTATCGAAATCGCACGATAGACAAGGGCTTTGCTGGCATTGGCGGTTAAGTTCTCTTCGGGAATTGAAGTCCGAAATCGCAACTTGTAATCAGACCGTAGCTATGTCAGCTGCAGGGCGCAACAGAGCGTCATCGGCGTCCTCAGCGTCATTGACGCCGCGCCTTGCGCCGAAGAAAGGGAGAACCAGTATGGCGCCCCCCCCAACATGTGGCTTTGCGCGCCATGTTCCCTCATTTAACCTTGTGATTCTTTTCTGACCGACTATCTCTCCTATCGTAATTCTCAGACGGAAGAGCTTGTGTCAGCTGTCATCACCGGAAAGTTCGTTGTGACGTTTTGATAAAGGGCACACCATGTTCAAAGTGCGAGGCAAACGGCATCTCCGATTGTCGGCTCTTTGAGAAGAAGAAAACCAGGTCTTCTTCAGCGAGGACCTCCAATAGCCCCAATGTCCCGCTGCAACCTCGAATGACAAACGGCGCTCGGTCTACGACGACGACATCTACTGCTTCCGACGCGGCCAGCCCCTGGATAAATGTCGCTGGGGACTCGGGCCGTGTGCCAACATCAACAGCCGACTCCGTAGCGCAGTCTCACTACGCCATCGAACTCGCAACGCGTAATCTGGCTGATTTCCTCGATCAAGAAGAGACAGAATCTCAAGAGATACTTCCCAGTGGCCGTCTGTATTTCATCGGTACCGAGTTCTCCAACCTTAACTATCTAGTCCGTCAGCGGACTCATCGACCCGGTCAAAATGTGCTGCATTTTGGAAGCCATCCTCTTGCCCCGAGAATGTCTTCAGTGCCCCCTGAGGCGCTAGATCTACCTACCAAGGAGCTTGCGGACGACCTTGTTGAGGCGTATTTCGTTCACGTCAACCGAGGCATTCCCATTGTCAACGAAAGCCAGTTCATGAAGAAGTACAATAATGTCGATAGCGGCTCAGACACTTTACGATCCAGGCCGCTATCTCTGCTACTGCTGAACTCGATCCTGCTCGTCGGAGCGCATGTTCTCTCTACCCAGCGGGAGGATGTCAAGGCGCTGAAGCCTATTTTCTTTAAGCGTGCAAAGGCTCTGTTTGACTGTCGCTTCGAGCAACACCGCGAAACATATTTACAGGCAGCCCTTCTGCTGACTTGGCAGTGTGATGACCTTGAAGACGTTGTTTCAAACTCTTGGTACTGGGTGGGATGCGCTGTTCGGACGGCCTTTGGGATGGGCATGCACCGTGATGCAACACCGTCTTGTTTGAATATTATGGACAAGCTTCTGTGGACGAGGCTATGGTGGACTCTGTATCAGTTCGATGTGTTGGTTTCTACGTCCCATGGGCGACCGCAAGCCATGTAAGTCCTCTTCTAAGCCGTGATACTATATCACTCTATACAGATATACTAAATCCAAGGCCTGCAGTAATCTGGATGATTCCGATGTACCGATGATTGAAGAGCACCATTTAACGGATACGCCGGAAACTGAAACCACGTTCATTATTCAGCACACTCGCCTATGCATCATATTCTCCGAAGCGATGAGGAAGCGAGTCTCTTTGAGGTCTACAGCAGAGGACCGCGCCAAAGCAACGAGGGAGGCAGACACAGCCCTTGCTGAACTGGTGACTAGTCTGCCGGAGAGACTTCAACTCTCTCAGGGCGAGCCGGACATATGGCAGGCAATTTTCCATCTCACCTACAACAACTTCCTCATCCTGCTCCATAGACCGTCGCCTCGCCCAGTTCCGGACCAGTCTACAGCAGAAGCGGGCACCGACCTAAGCATCTGCTCGGATGCCGCAGCCACTGTTAGTTCTATCTTTGAGTCTCTACGTAAAAGGAACATGCTTTCCGGGCTATGGCTCCCCAGCATCCATGTGCTCTTCACGGCTCTGGTACATACGTCGACTCAGATGCACTCGAGCAACCCAATCGTGGCGGCAAAATCCAAGCGACACTCCGAATCCATGATTCAAACCTTGCATTCGCTGAAAAGCCAGTGGCTCTACGCACAGAGTCTCTTGAACCTATTCGAACCACGGCACTTGCGAGGACGCGGCCATTCCCAGACAAACCGCCTCAGTGATTTGGGTCACGATGTAAGCACTGGAACAGATGAAACCGCGCGACAAAACGGCAAACTCAGGGCCTCGATATCTCCGGACGTGTTCCGATACGGGAACGGTAACCCTTCTGGCTCATTATCAACGGCGGCTAGACGCCCGCTTAGCTCTGAGCCCACGTATTTGACCCACGCAACGCCCAATCAAGGGTTTTCGAGGAGCCAGGAAGCGCAGTATATGGGCACACTCGCAGGGGACGAGTCACAAGATGGCCAGTTCTACGGTGCTGGCTTTGTGGGAGACGAATTGAGCCTCGGTGACGTGGACAATATGGGCATGCTTCCACTTCCGTCAGCGTTGGAGTTCTTATTGGCGGGTGGCGGTAACAATTTTGATTTTTGCAGCTGAGAAACTTGGTCTATGACGAGAAGCAAACAGCCACGGCGCAGGGACTCAGAAGAATAATATAGAACTATCATGAGACATGGAACCTTATCCAGAGCAAAATGTGGATATTTTTAGGTCACATCGCAGCTTTATCTATTGAAGCCCATGCTTGTGACCTAGTTGACATTGAATTAAGCAATCGCAATGCCTAAATTGACCCAGAAAGATAAAACTCAGTTATAAAACGACAACAATACCAACCAATTGTCAACCTCTATCTCACTTATTAAAGCATTGTTCCTGATCTCGATCGGGCCTCAGATCTGATCAGCCTCCGGCACCCCATCTGGTAAGTTGCAATACATTAATAGAATGCTTTGTAAATCCAGAATCCGATTTTCGTGGAGAGCAATGTACATATCGTTACAATCCCAAGGCAATAACCTGGCTGACTGCGATTGAAGTCTTGAAATCAGATGGCATTTGGTAACGCCCCACCCTCGTCCGAGCTCTCGGTGAACCTTATCCCCACAATCCTCGGTGAGGCCAATCCACAAAAGAAACGACGTACCTATCTTCCCGGCGCGGAAAAACACAAACCTCCAGCTACTACCGCTGCCCTTCACTTTTCCATTATCCCAAACACTCCAGACCCGCGATCGCGACAACCCCACGACAGCTTTCGACCTTCCGAGACGAACACCCCTCCAGAACCGCAAACATGACGTCCACGATCGGTATCCCAATCAAGCTCCTCAACGAGGCCCAGGTACATTCAATTCCCCTTACCCATCCCATTGCTCGGCCGCCAAGTAGAAGCTAACACCCATGCGCGCGCAGGGCCATATCGTTACCCTCGAGATCACCTCTGGCCAAACCTACCGCGGCAAGCTCCTTGAAGGTACGATCCCCTTCCTCTTTCTTCCTTCGTCTTCCTCCCTCAAACCCTCTGATTGCCAGTTTATCACCTAAACACAACATCGCCCAAGCTAACAGCACCTGCCCACAGCCGAAGACAACATGAACGTCCAGCTCAAGGACATCACCGTCACCGCCCGCGACGGCCGCGTCTCCCACCTCGACCAGGTCTACATCCGCGGCTCCCACGTGCGCTTCTTCATCGTCCCGGACATGCTCCGCAACGCGCCCATGTTCCGCTCCCGCAACGTCCGCGGCCGCGGCGTCGGCATGGCCCGCGGTCGCGCCACAGTCAGCAGGGCCCGCGCCAGTGGCCGCGGCGGTCGCTAAGGCTTCCCCTCCCGTTCCCTCTTTGCCGGCTCGAACGCGAGATGCGCTTTGCGCGAGGACACACGCACACACGAGAAGCAGCTACACGAGAGAGACAAACCACACGACAGATATTCTATTTCAATTCATCGCGAACCAGACGGGGCAGGCAAGATCGCGCACGCGCGCGCATGTCATACGGACTCTTACCATCACGGAGAGAGAGAGAGAGAGAGAAGGGAGAGAGGAGGGAGAGGACAGAAAGCTGCGGCTTCTCTATTTGCGGGGAGGGAGGGGTGGGTTTCATGACCGGAGCTTCCAGCAAATAGCTCCTGGGAAAGATAAAAAAAAGTTCCTTGGCGTTCAAACGGGTTTCTAGAGAGTTCTGGGAAGTTTCCAAACAAAAAACACAAACAAACAAACGCGGTATGGACGAAAAGAGACCAGAAGGGAGGCAATGATAACCGAACCCGGGCGATTTCGCAGCAAAATGTGTCTCACAAAGTACAGCATGGCGGTCGCTAGGGTAAGGCCTCACTTTTCACACACACGATGCAGACCGAGCTCGGGTCAGGCGGGACTAGCTGACATCGATAGGCAAATGGGAAGCAAAAGAGACAAGAAACCGCAAATAGAATACAGACGCCTCTTCTCGGCGCCCCAATTTTTCCCTGCCCCCCCCCCCCCCCCTTTTAAGTGTGTTGTCTTGGTATCGAAAGTCGTGCGTGTATGAATGTCTATGGTGACATCCTCTTTTATACATTATACAGATTGATGGTACAACGTGACGTGACGTGTCGTGACGAGGGGAACCCAAGATCTTCTCCTTCGTTCCCCTGCTCTCATTTTTCTACTTCATGCGCTTCAGCGCGTCCTCGGCCTTCTCCACGAGCTCCCTGGCCTTGCGTAGTTCCTCGGCGCCCTCGACGGGGTTGCCCTCGCGCGACCTGTCCAGCGCATCGGCAACGCTCTGCTCGACGCCCCTGACAGCCTTGCGGCCCTCCTCGCGCACCTCGCCCTCCCAGTAGGCCCGCGCCGTCTCCCACTTGGTCTGCAGCCTGCGCAGGCTCCACATCACGCCCAGGGCCGCGACGGCGCCCGCCTCGTAGACCGACGAGGCGTACTGCGAAACGTACAAGAGGCCGGCCAGCGCGCTCGTCAGGGCCGAGGTGCTCGACGCTTGCAGCACGAGCTTCTGCGCGAGGGCCTGCAGGGCGGGAACCGTCTCCTCGTGAAGGTAGCGGCGCGTGAAGGAGATGTGCGTCGGCCACTTTGGCCTTTGCGTCACGGCCTTGGCGGCCGTGCTGGATTCCGGCAGCGACCTCTGCAGCTCGGATGTCGGCTGGGCGTACGCGGGCGGTTCCGCAGCGGCGGCAGCGCCAGATTCGGCGATGCGACCGGCGAGATAGATGAGCTCCCGCTCCGCGCCGGGGAGGAAGCGCTGGCTGAGCATGTCTGTCGTGAGCGCGCCGACATCGTCGACCCTCCAGAACAGCTTCCACCATCCCAGTTTGCGCCATCTTGTGCCCGCGAAGGCGAGGTCGAGCTGTTGCTGGAGTTCCTCGTGCGCAAACTGCGACCATTGCGCCAGCCTCTCGTTCATAACGGCCAGGCCGGACGACGAGGCCTCGGTCGACAGACGTCCGGACAGCAAGCGCGTCTCCTCGGCCTCAATCTCGGCCAGGGTGTTGCGCAGCATGGACGCGATGAGCAGACGCACTGCCGGCTTGGTGACCTGGCCCTCGTCGCTCTGCACGCCGGACTTGAGCCATTGGATAACAGCCGGCACGTTGCTCTTGTACCAGGAGCGCTCGTACTCCATTGCGTTACCTATGTTCTGACGGATGAGATCGAGCCCCTTGGTGCCGACCGAAACATCAATCGGCTGGAACGTGACGTGCGCATCCTTCTCCACAGGGTACCCTGGCAGGTCGACAGCGGCGAGCACCGTATCGCGATACTCGGCCAGCGGTAGCGACGCCACCGATGCAGCGCCCATAACCCCTTCGGAGACCACCAAAGCCTTGTGCACCGGTGTCGTAATGGGCGTGTACCGCCCCGTGTTGGAGGGGATATCCACCGTGGGTACCAGGACGGACTCCTCCATGTCCTGCGATTGCGCCGTCTCACCCAGGGCCGCGACGAAGGGGTTCACCTCCATCAGCAGAAGCTCGATGCCGTGCCCATTGAGTGTGGGGGACGACACGTCCAGCTCGTGCAGCAGGTTGGTCTTGGAGATGGTGACGGTCGGCGCGGACTCCTCGCGCGGTTGGCCGCCGTGCTCGCTACTGATGCGCACGACGAGAGGGTGCGCGGTGTCGTGATGGGCCAGCTCCCCCTCCCACCCGGCCTCGTCGCCTAGTGGATCAGCGAGGATGAGGCGCAGCAGGTCCTTGGCCGCCCTACCCGGCTCCGCGGCGTTGGCGAGGGCAAGGACGGCGACGCGGACGGCTTCCTGGCCGGGGTCCTGACGCAGGTTTTGGAGCGCGAGCTGAAGGCGGGAGAGGTTGACGTGGTTCACGGCGTGCTTCTGCAGCTCCAGCAGTGTGTCGATGAGCTCGGCGCGGGGGTTCGCGGGCGGCGCGGCCATGGATGGCGCGGCGTCAGTGGACTGAAAGTGGCGTTGTCTCCATGTTTTTCTATTGGCGGCGTGAGCGCGTCTGACGGTGGTTCTTGAGGGAGCCGGAGGTGTGGATAACGAGCAAAACAAGCAGAAGGCGGCGCGCGAGGAAGATTTGGTCTGTTGCTTTGCCAGGGACAGCGACGACGACGATGCCGCACGGCCGGCCATTGGCCTCAGTGGAAGTCGCGGAGGCATTGTGTAGGAGGCAAGGGAGTGTTGGCCGTTTGGCGGGAAAGGGGTTTGCGTCCCCTTGTTCGGCTCTCGACGGAGGAAGAAAAGTAGAGACGGAAAGATTTAAGAAAAAAAAAAAAAGTACGTGATGTTGACCCGGTATGGTCGATGGCGGGTGAGGTCGGCAGATGGACAGAGCTCCCAAAAATGCTGCGGTGCCACCCCCGACCCAAGCTCCGATTTCACCTGGAGGGCAAAACCTCGGCGAATTAGCTAACGCTGTACGTAGTGTACAGCAATCACAGCTGCACGGTTCATCCTTCCCCCACCCCCGCCAACCTCTGTGACCACTGTCGACCATCACTGACCATCGCTGTCCACCGCTGTCCACCGACGCACCGACATCAGCCCAAGACGCAAGCTGTCCGAGTCTAAAGGTGTCAACAACCGCCCATTCGAATAACCACATTCCACCCTTCACACTCCTCGGCTTTACACACCACTATTCCCTCTTCGTTGAAACCTCCGCTCTCCCCACGAATCACCTTCAGCCCGATAGAACGAACCTCTCCCCTCCGGCTCCGGCTCCGAACCTCAGCTCGCGCGCGCCATGGCCCAGTCCACCGCCCACCGCCGTCTCCTCCAGGAGTACCGCGCCCTGACGAACAACCCGCCCGAGGGCATCACCGCCGGCCCCGTCTCCGAGGACGACCTCCTGCATTGGGAGGCCCTGATCCAGGGCCCCGAGGGTACCCCCTTCGAGGGCGGCGTCTTCCCCGCCGAGCTCAAGTTCCCCAAGGACTATCCCCTCGCCCCGCCCACGATGAAGTTCCTCGTCGACATGTGGCACCCCAACAGTACCTCACCCCTCGAAAACGACGTGGGCCCTACGCACAAAACTGGCTAACTCCAATCCGCAGTCTACCCCAGCGGCCTCGTCTGCATCTCCATCCTCCATCCGCCCGGCGACGACCCCAACCACTACGAGCACGCCTCGGAGCGCTGGTCCCCCATCCAGTCCGTCGAGAAGATCCTCATCTCCGTCATGAGCATGCTCGCCGAGCCCAACGACGAGAGCCCCGCCAACGTCGAGGCCGCCAAGATGTGGCGCGAGTGCCGCGCCGGCTACGAGCAAAAGGTCCGCGACGGCGTCCGGCGGTCTCTGGGCCTGTAGAGAGGAGGGAAGGGTGAGCGGGTAAAGACATAGAGGTGGATAAAAACGCAGCGTAAGGAATCGGTGGTTGTGGTAGTGGTGGTCACATCTTCCACAGGGAAAGATAGGGCGCAGGAGGAACTGCGCCAATTGATCCGGAGACCAGCTCGCAGGGAAGGATGTGGGAAAGATACGGTCAGAGCGACTCGCATAGCACGGCGTTTGGGGGGAATCGAATATCGCTTCATTCATTGACTTCTATTCGGACGTTTCAAGTTCACAGTCCAAAGCAGTCATCTGTCTCTGCTTTTTGGCTCGTTCCATGAACCAAACCCCCCCTTCTCCCCCGTTCGTTCCTGTGGCCAAAGGAGCCGCCTCATAGCTCCCCCCGTGAGTCCCATTACAGCCCGTTCTCCGCCTTGAACTTGTCCCAGCTCTCGTTCAGCGTCGCAAAGACGGTCGCCGCGATAAGCCTCACCTCCGTACCGGCGTCTTGGGGGAGCTGTCGACCAAACGTGTTAGCACAAATCAACCACGGTACATTTGGCTGCTATTCTGGGGCGGGGGTGGTTGAGGGAAAACGTTACCTTGTCCGGGTGGCACTTGGCAATGGCCTTCATGTAGTGGATCTTGACCTTGTTGGCCATCACGAGCTCGTGCAACCCGACCTTCTTCCACCCGCTGCCCTCCCAGAGAACCTGGTCCAGGCTGCCGATCAGGGCCCGCAGGTTGTCCCGCTTACCGTCCCGCCAGGACGCGATCCGCGCGTCCACCTTCTCCGCCAGCGCAAACTTCTCATCGTCCTCCTGTGCCGCCGCCTGATTCTGCTTGCGCAGACGCTCGACAGCCTCTGAGTTCTTCGCCGGCGTCGCCGCAGCCGGCTGAGGTCGAGGAGCAGAAGCGGCGACGGCAGGTCTGGGCTTCGGCTTCGGCTTCGGCGCAAGGGCGTTCTGGCAGCGCTGACGGCCGGATATGGCCGTGGGGCCGCCCACGCCGTTCTTCACGCACGTCGACCACACGGCGTGCGCGTCGCCCCAGCGTTCCATCTGTTCGAGCGCCTCGGCCTTGCGGCTCAGCGCCTTGCCGTACAGGTCCCGCATGTCGCGGCGTTCTTCACCACCGTTGTCGCCCACGACGGTCACCTGCTCGCCCTGGCCGCCCGTTGGGCCAATGATATTTAGCGCGGCATCGGCGTCCTCGACCGCCTGCTTGGGCTCTCCGGTCTTGAGGGCCGTCAGCGCGCGGTTCGTGAGAATGACGATGGCGAGCGGGTGTGACGGCGGCACGGCGGCAAGGGAGGACGAGTAGGACAAGTGGGCGGCGCCGTAGTCTCCCCGCTTGAATTGGGCGGTACCCTCGAGACGGTGTTTCGTAGATTGCTGTATCGCTGCTGGTGTGATTGGGGGAATTTGACGAGCAGGGCGAGGTGCCGGTTTGGGAGCCGGCGGGGAAGGGCGCCTGGCAGCGGATTGAGCAGGCCGAGACGGCTGCGACGGCTGAGCTGGACGCTGCGGGAGCGACTGAGCCGGCATGGGGTTTTGAGAAGAACCGAAGAGTAGGTCGGGCTCGTCCTGCTGCGGCGGCGGCGCTTCCGGCTGGGGGGTGGCCTTCTTCCTTCTGTGAGGGCTTACATAGGACGCGGCACTGTCATCCGTCATCGCCAGCTTGCTTGCGCGAGTCTTCGAGTCTGGCAGTGCTGGGCCGCTCTGTTGCTGCCACCTCGGCACTGGAGTTCCTCTGCCGCTGGAAGGGGCCGATACGGTATGGGGATGGTCCCGCGATGCCGTCCTCTGCGGCGCATCTGGTCGCGGTGATTGCGACGACTGCCCCGGCTTCCTTGGCGGCCGACCGCCAGACTCCAGCATCAAAGCCTCGTCCGTCGCCTCTGCCGCCCTCCTCTCGGGCTGGGCCCGGTCGAGCTGAGCCGAGCGCATCCACTTGGGCTGGTTGGGATCCCCCTCCGGCTGGTTGAAGTCTGCGACTGCCTGCTGGACTTGCTTCTTGCCCGTCTTCCATAGAGAGTTGGCAGTCTTGAAGAGGCTATTGCCGACGGCGGCCGCGGTCTTTGAGAGGTCCGGCTCGCCGCTTGCTGGGGATCTCGTGCCCGCTCTCCGCTCGCTGTCGTAACTGCTACCGTCGTCCCGTCCTCTTCTCTGTGTCGCAGCAGCGGGATTCTTGCCTTGTGCCTTTGCCTTGGCTTGCCGATGCGCATCATCCAGAAGCCAGTTGGCAGCCGCTTGCACGTTCAGACCCGCCCCGCTCTCTGTCAAGCCACGTCGAGCGTTCTCGGGTGTGAAACCGTAGTCGACAAGCTGGGCAACAGCGCGGTCGAACTCGGCCATCTCGCCCCTGGGGGCCGGCCCCTCGTCTTCGGAGCTGGAGTCGGACGCCTCGATCGGCTTCCCAGGCTCGGGTCGCTGGGGGGGCTGCACTGGGGTAGGTTGTTTGCGCCTGACCTCTTCAACAGGGCGGGCCAGGTCACCGAGGAAGTCGTCGTCGTCGTCGTTGGTCGGCGGAGGCGGCGCCGGAGACGCAGTCTTGGGCTTCAGCTGGTTCAGACCAAAAGGATCATCGTCATCCCCGAACCCACCACTGTCGGCGGGGCCGGGCGGCTGGCTCCATGCGCTTGGGTTGCTGAGGTCCAGACCAGGCGTACTCGCAGGCGCAGGGCTCTTCTGGGGCGGCGGGGGGTAGAAGCTGGCGTTGTCGACTTTCGTTTCGGAGTTGAACGCGGCGAAGAGGTCGTCGTCGTCACTGGCCTTCTTGCCGGTGGAGGATCCGGGGGACAAGACGCCCGGAGACGCAGTCCGCGACACGGAGCCCGATCCGAGAGTGTCCAAGAACCCACCGCCAAACTGCGCCTGCGCTTGCTTTCTCTTCTCTTCCTCTTTCTTCTTCTTCTCCGCCTCCAGCCGTTGCTGCTGCTCCAGCAGAGTGAGCTTCGATGTGGGTTTCGCCGCAGCGCCGGCGCCGAAGCTGAGGAGGTTGCTAAAGCTGTCGGCGGCAGGCTTCGCAGTCGGGGGTTTCGCCACAATGTGTCCAGAGTCCTGGGCAGACAACGGCGTATTGCGACCGGAGGGGAATGGAGATGGTGTCGAATTGGTCGGCCGCACTGAACCAAAGTAGTTGGCGCCCGAGGGGTTCATGGGCGGGGGCTTGTTGTTCGGCTGGTTGGCCGATGACGACCAGTTCAGTCCCGAGAGATCATCCATCTTTTGAGCACTGGGAAACGTTCAGGGTGCAATCTTCATTTCATCAGCTCCGTGAGGGTCGTGAGGGTCGTGAGGGTCTCAAATATGGCTCAATGCATCGTTTTCGGTTTGTTCTGAATTCCACCCGTCGCTTGCCTCCTGGATCGGTTTGGCTGATTGCGGTGTCGTGTGGCCAGAAGGTGGCATGTGGCGCGGCTGTGGCTGAAGCTGGGGTAACAGTGGCTGCCTGACGTGATATCCGACTGATGCCTGACAGCAGTCGCCCATCTCTTCCAAGGCATCAAGTCTCTATCAGCCTTAGTTCTTTCGGCTTGATCCGCGAGCTAAAGGACGCACAGCCCAAAGTCGCGTAGTCTTTTGACAGATGGCGCCGAAATAGAGAAGGAAGGAGGGGGGGGGGGGCTAGCACCTCGTCTCTGGGCGTTTGGGGCTCATCGGTATCGTCACATCTCGATTTTCACCAAGTATCGTTCAGCTCGACAGGCTTGAATGCTTCATTTCGCGGGGCGCTTTGTACACAATGAAGCCATGTCGTTTTCTATTTTATTCTACGGAAATGCGGCTCGGTGAGCTCCAGTCCAAGCCACAATAGGCAATATTATGTGCGGCGGGGTTATATCTATCTGCTGGTGAATTCTAGTCAACTATCATCATGGCATTCCAACCAGAGATCCCCGCATGTGTCCTGAACTCTTCCAGGCTTGTCTCGTCTCTGAATTTGAGTCATCTCTTCTTCCCTCAAATGTGTCGTCGGCCACCTCGACGCAGCAAGAATTCAGACGCCAGTAGAGGAGAATCAACATTGGTGGGAGACATCGGCAAACATTCTCACGTCAGTCGCCCAGCTCGGCACCACGGAGGCATGATACATCGCTTATGACGGCAACGTTTTCTACTCGGCTTGGTAATTGCCGCAGGCCAGCAGCCGGAGACGCCTCGTCCTAGGTGCTGCGACATGGTTCCTGCTACCGCAGAGGAGCCAAGGGAGGGAGGGAGTCAGGGGGTAAGCGCGCGCACCTCAATCACTTCGAACCCCTGGGTCACAGATCTACCGCCACGGCTCTTTCGGCCGGATGAGCCCCGCCTAAAGCTGCACGGCTCGAAGCAGCCTGGTTTTGGTGACGGGTGATCCTGACTGTGCGCATGAAATAACCATATTAGCTGGTGATGCTTGGCTCTAGGGCTAGATGATTGAACACTCCAGGCGCACGAAACTCGTCGGATCGTGTAGATGGATGTCGTAGGTTGAATTCTAACACATGTTCTTCGTGTGCGACAAACGGTGAGGGCCACCGACACCGTGGAGGTAATCGCCACGTGGTGATGCTGCTGTAAGCTTCGGTGTTGCCGGTATTGCTCAACCGCGGCCGTTGGCCAAACGGGGCCCGCGGCCATACCGTAGGGCTCGGTGCTGCGTGTAAGTGTCGCCTGAGGGCTGCAAGGATAATGGCGATTGTTTCCGAATGAGATAAACAATGGTTCCAAGTCTACTAGTAAGATTTGCTTGTTGATATCAGACTCATAAAACATGCTTATTTAGGGTCAGTTCAGGAGCAGCGCAGGTTCTTTGCGAAGCCGGATGGCAGGACAATGCTTGGATGCATTGTGAATCCCTGGGACAACAGCTCTTGGTTATTGGCTTCGTCCCTGAAGAAGTTCGGATGATTGGCGCATCGCCTCAATTAGTCAGATGCTGAAACTCGTGTAGAGCCTAGATGTCTGGGGTGTACTCCTTGACGGGGGTGACCAAGGAGACGGTAGAAAGGTTGAGCCAAACTGACACGTGCTGGGTGAAAGGTATGAGATAAGCCACTACCCCACCATAAGCATGATTTGTATACCTACTCTTGCTCTTATTTTTAATCCGCGGCTGAACCCTCGGACGCTGCTCGGTGTGCGCCGGGGGCCGTGCACCGTGCATCAGAATCTGGAAGCCAACATATTCTTGGCTTTGGTGATGACGATGATCACGTCCTTGACTCGTAAGTATTGGACGTGGACTGCGTTACCCACGACCGCTAGGGCATCGAGGAACACGGTGTTTGCTGCATATCGTAAGACATGCTCTTCGTGTAGGTAGGCAAACCCGTCCCACGACGGGGCAACACGGCGGGGTGGAACTGGTATGGCGGTCTGACTGTCCGACGTTCAATCGAAACAACTGCCGGCCAGTGAAGTGGGGGAGGGGGGGAGATGAGGAGGAAAAAGCAGAGGGTCATCGTGGCCTGGCTGAGATGTTTGCTTCTCCTTGTGCGATTCTTCCTTTTGGCTGGTTCGGGGATCAAGGTGCATGAAGTACTGGCCACTAAGTCGTACGAGGGCGCCAAGTGGCAGCCGTTGCCTCGAGTAAGATGACAGGGAATCACGATGAGCGCAAAGGCAGTCAGCTGCGAGACCGTGGTGTGAAGGAGGACTAACATCCTCACGATCGGAGTTTCTCGTTGAACGTACGAATAGCGCTTGACGAGAAGTATACTGTATGGAGAAGCATGGATGGATGCCTGTCTGGGAGGTAAGCGCCTGTCGTGCGCGGATCAGGGTTGGCAGAAGCGTGTCTGCATGATGCATCGCCCAATCACAGCGGCGAGATGGCACCGCTAAAGCCAGCCGTACACAACTCGAGCCTGTGGTAAGGCAACTCGACGTTGTTGCAGTACAGCTCGGAAGGTTGGAGATGCCCCAAGGATAATCTCCTTGGTTCGGCGCAATGTCCGTGGGATTTATCTCTCGTACTTGACTCTGCTGATCACCGCTGCAGGATACACACACACACACACACACACACACACACACACACACACACACACACACACACACACACACACACACACACACATATACACACACGATGGCGGCGGGCAATGTATTGTGAGGACGGGTAGGGTGCGGCGGCCAGGAGTGGCGAGATGAAACGGCGCATGAAGGCCTGGTAATTGCTTCTTCTATTTGCGCATCTCTATATAGCAAAACGGGTCGCAGGGCGAGTTGTATTGCGGTGGATGCCATTAATTGATTTCGACGTCTGTAGTAAAAGAGCCAGCAGGATATCGGGCCACGACGATGCGGGGACGATGGGCGACTTGATTCGCCGGGTGAGGTGCTCACAATCAAATCACAGGGTCCGACACGGTACCGGCGCATGCGCTCCTTCCTTCTCTCCTTCTTTCCCACCGGTACATTGCCCCTTCCTTCCCCTGGCTCGAAATGAAGTCATGTCCTTGTCGGAGCCGGCGGTTGCTACCAAGCCTGTGCCTGCAAATGCCTAACATTAGCGCAGATCCCAGCCGCCCCCTCCGTGGCCCCTCGGCCCCACAGTCTGGTCTGGCAGTTACTGTTTGTTCTATTGGTCCAAATCTGGCAGCAGGGAGAGAAAAGGGGTGTGTGTCATTGGCTTTCGTGACATTCTGTCCAATTAACATGGCGGGGCATGCTACAGGGGCTAATGCTACGTACCTACCCTGCCTAGCGTACCTTATCCAAAGTGAGATCGCCTCCTTCCTTCTACAACCTGTTCCTTCGAAAAAGGGGTCACGCTCCAACGGCCAACGGTATTACCTGCAGTTCTATCTCCCTACCTAGGTAGGTAGGTACTAGTACTAGGTAGTGTATGCTACTACTTACCTACGAAGACCAAGTTCCACACGAGCGAAGATGGCAAGTACGGCACGCCCCTCTTTGCCCTTTGGTCCTTGTCACTTCTCCTTTTTCAACGTCCCACATCGGGGAAAGAACAGAACATCCTGGGAAAGGTCGTCATTGAGCGCAGATCCTCGGAGAGAATTTTAAGAAAAAAAAGAGAGGGGGAAAAGACAAAAACAGAAGGGGCCTTGGGTTGGTCGACCTGTCACCATTCTATCCGTACAAAGTGTTCCATCTTGGTCAAGTGGCGGCCCCCAAAAGCAATCGGCCGGGGGTGGATGGGGATGGATGGGAAATGCAGGCCGACCTTTGGTACCTGCATATCGCGTGTGTCACAACGAAGCCACCCGCGGCATTTCTGTGCTTCTCTGGCTGTCTTGTGCAACGGTACGCCCCGAGATGCCACACCGTCCCTCGCATTTCCCGCCAGACCGTTGGTACTAAACGCTTGGTGCCATGCATGATGATGTGGCGAAACGGGCTTGCTTTCTCATCTTATCTGCCTACCTACCCACCTATCTACCTACTCGACACGACCTCAACTCACGACATCTACTCACATGGATAAAGGTCTCGGCTTTTGGCAAACGGCACCTGACCACTGCATTAAGCAGCAACATGCCGGCCGTAATGCAGCGCAATCGCATCGCATCGCATCGCATGCGTTGCATCGTCACCCTCGTCCGGCCTTCATCTCATCTTCTGTCATTTCATCTCGCATGGCCACTGCCGCCCGGCCCGACTTACACTAGCAAAGTGCTGCAATATGCAATGCCCGCTTTCCGATGGATCGGTGCTCAGTCGGCAAGACCTGCGTGCCTACGCGACGGATACTTGGTACCCAAGTGTTTCCTCCGTTCCTCTGCCCCGTGTCTTCCTGGTCATTGCTTCATGCTTCTTTGCCTTTCGTCCGTTTCGCCTCTCGCTTGGCTCCTTGGCGTTCCTATCTCCTCCGCAATTCCGTGGATCAGCTTGCCACCCTGTGCCTGCCGTCGTCTGGAATACAGCAGCACAACGTTGTCGTTTGGCGGCGATGGATGGCCGAGCGGCCTGATGAGCGAGTGACATTCAATTACGGATAGGGCGATGGGCCAAACGACAAGCCAAACGGCCCAAGTACTTTGTACCCCGCCCAGGGAAAACCGGCACAAAGTGTGGCTTGCGCCAATCTATGCCTGGGGCGACCCCAGCAACCCGACCAGCAGGATCCTGGTCACCCTTCGTGCTGGTCCGGCCCCTTGAAGCAGGATTTTAATCTATCTCAATCCACATCGGGAGCGATCCCTCCAACCTTCCGCGCTGTTCGCCCGACTGGCTGGCCTGGGATATGCCGACGGTGCATGCGAATGAAAAGGTGACGGGGGTCACAGGACACCAAGATAAGTAGTCTAGTCGTACAATTAGTGTAGGTAGGTACGGTATGCGGTAAGACTCCATGCATGTAGCAGACACAGTCGCTACGTTAACACGCACCTACATACCCAGACGCACTTATCTGTACTTCCAGAGGCGGGCGGGGAGTTTCGAGTTTTGCGTTTCAACTCCAAGACTTACCTTGCCGTCTTCATCGGACGCCAGAGAAGCAACGCCTCTCTCTCCCTCTCCCTCTCCCTCTCATACACTCACACACTCTGCCAGCACAGCCACTCGTCTTGGACCTGGTCCCGGATGGACGGTGCCGTACCCCCCCGTGGGGCCTGAGGACTTGACTGACGACGCAGGCGCTTGCTTGAACACCAGACGAACACTAGCTAATACTTAATGTCGTGTGTTATACACGTGTGATGTGCTAGTAGGTAGTCGTCTCTCAGGGTGGTGTACTGTATGCTAGGAAAAGCAGAAATGCGCCATTTGTTCTCCCGCACCCATGCTCGCCTGTTCTCTCGTGTTCCTTGGCCCGACATCGTCGCCCGGCGTCATTGATCCGAACGCAGCAAGGAGCGAGCAAAGCTAATCTCATCTCACTTGGCCCATCAGCCCGCTTCGTCTCCCGTTTAGTCTTGTCCCTCCCGGGTGACTAAAGGCGAAGATCAATGGGGATGAATCACGGGTAATGCCTGGACGCGGGTCAAGGAAGATAGAAGCGCGACGTAGGTACCCTGTCATTTTCCCACAATTTTCCCATCTCTCTGGGAGGAGCCAAACAGCGGCTTCTCGGTAAGGGCGTACCTAACTGAGGGCCATCGCACGCACACGCCGACCTGCCTGCGTGCACTCTACCACGTACTCTATGCTTGCACTGCGCTGCGAAATGGGACTCGGCAACACATCCATGCCGCCCTACACACGACGGCTCCCCCCTCCCCACCACTCCCCTGCCCTGCGCCCCTTGAGTCCCCCCCATCCCACCGCAAGGAATGCCATATCCTCCCGCCATGTCTCTCTCTCACTCTCTCCACCTGCCGCCCGTTTCCTTCTTCCTCTTGAATGCCCTTCTTCTGCATCACCTTCATTCCAACCGCCCTCTTCTTCCCTCGTTTCTCCCCCTCCTTCGTCACCTACAACGGGGTCTCTCGACTGTCTTTCTCTAGCTTTGCAACCCTCACACTCGCTCTTCCATGGTCTCGACCGTTTTCTGGTTCTTGATCTCAGCCATTCCTTTTTTCTCACAAACTCGACAAAAATCCAAGGATTTCTGATCCTTGCTGGACCCTACACATTCCTTTTCTCTTGGAACCTTCACGTTTGTGTGTGTTGACCGCATCCGCCTTCTTTTCTCGACTCGAATTTTTTGGGCAAAGACTCGACCGTTGGACGATCTCTATATCCAAAAAGGCTCGATACTGGCTTTTTATTTTGCGGGCTTCGCTGCATCGGTTCTCCCAGCCAGCCTCCGTCTTTCGTCACTCGCGGCCAGTGCCATCCCCGGCATCGTCTTACACCACTGGCCGACATCATCGCATCGCAGCGCAACACAACTCCGTCGCATATCAACCACTCGACGTCAGCCTGCCTGAACCAGTTTGCTTTGCGTCAACATAAGAGGAGGTTTTTCGAATTGTCAATTTGACTCAACCCGACTCACGAGTTACCATCGACGTATCCTGGACTCATACATTCGACACTATCACCGACTCACTAACGGACAACCAAGCAGCTGTGGAGGATTTGCAGATATATTTTTATCTATATCTGTCAACCTTCTTGGACCATCACGAAATAGGAGGTTTGGTGAGCAGCTTTGCACTTGCTCTTTCCATCACCAGCCTCTCCACCTTGATCTGGCACGTTAGCGCCTCGCTTAACCCGTCGCTCCTGCCGTTCACTGCATGGCACCTGCTCTTTGAAACTATTATTGTGAACCTCAAGATCAAAGCTGCCTACCTACTTTGCCCCTGGGTTCTTTCATCCATCGAACGGGTTTGAGAAGCTTTCGCAAAACAAAACACCACCTCTCGACGAAAAACTCCCGAATATCGTTTGTGCGGCAGGTCACAAGCTCAGACAGCTTTCACCCTCCAGTCTTTTCAGGAATCCAACTGGACTTTGGGCCTGTTTTCCAGTCGCTATCACTTGATACCCAGTTCTCGTATCATTTCTTACCCTTTATACCCCAACCTCAACAACTGCCAAGATGAAGTACTCTACCTCAAGCGTCATTGCCGCTGCCGGCTTCTTTGCCGCTGGCGTTGATGCCTTCTGGCGCATGGAGTGTCCATCTCGCGTCGGTCTCACCCGTGTTGACCCTCTCATGTCCTTTGGGACTGCTGCTCCTCATGTTCACGCCATTCACGGCTCTAATGGTATGTAACAGCCACTGTCCGTCGCAACTGCCCATTCGCCTCAGGTCCCTTGTGGTTTCTGCTCACTTTGGCGTTTGTTGCGCATATCTGCTCTTGTGGCTAACATTACTAGGTATCTCTCCCACCGCCACCTATGGCGACCTTGTTGCCGGCGACTGCACCTCCTGCCGCGTCAAGCAGGATAAATCGGCCTACTGGCACCCTGCTCTTTACTTCCAGGACGCGAGCACTAACGAGTTCGAGCTGGTTGACCAAGTCGGCGGGATGCTTGCGTAAGCCTACTCCCCCCCCATGTTTCGTCTACTAGACTTGGTGCTAACTGTCTCAGGTACTACCTTCTTAATGGCAAGGATATCAAAGCATTCCCTGCGGGTTTCCGCATGATTGCTGGGGATACCGACCGCCGCAATTACACTGCCGGAGACCCTTCGCAGCCCGACCCCCAGAAGTCCGAGTGGTCGATCCTTGGCGAGACCACGCAGTCTATCCTTGAGCAGCGCGCCTTCGGCTTCAACTGCCTCAACTACGCTAAAGCCCCCGAGGGCACTCTGTACCGCCACGCCCTCCCCGACAAGGCTTTCCTCGATGCCAACTGCGCCAACGGTGTCCGTTTCGAGGCGATGTTTCCTTCTTGCTGGAACGGCAGGGACCTCGACTCGCCGGACCATAAGTCCCACATGGCATACCCCGACCTTGTCATGACCGGTCCCTGCCCCGCTGGATTCGAGACTTCGGTCCCCAACCTTTTGTACGAGGTCATCTGGAACACCGCCGCTTTCAAAAACCGTAACGGCCGCTTTGTCATCGCCAACGGTGATCTCCAGGGCTTCGGATACCACGCCGATTTCATGTCTGGCTGGGATGAAGACTTCCTTCAGTCGGCCGTTGACACCTGCACTAACCTGTCTGGCCGCATCGAGGACTGCCCCATCTTCGACCTTCAGGACCAAGCCGCCGCAGCGCAGTGTGAGATGAAGATCCCCAGCTTCCTATCTCAGGAGAATGTCACCGGCCCGGACTTGAGCCTGCCCGGTAACGTCCCCATTACGGGCGACAATTCCACCGAGGGCGGGTCTCCACCCCTCATTCCCTCCCCTAGTTCGTCTTCTTCAGCTCCCGCCGCTCCCCCGGCTCTCACCTACAAGCCGGGCAAGACCGCGACCGCCAACCCTATGCCCGGTGAAGTCTTCAAGGCCATCCCTTCGTCTGCGTCTACTCCGGTCCCGATCATCCTGGAAGTCACACCCACTCCTACCAGTTCCCCCACTCCTACCAGTTCCTCGCAGCCCACCATGTCTTTCGCGTCCACCCAGACGATCACCAACGGCAATGTTGTGTCTATTATCTACTGGGAGGAGGACGTTGTGTACGTGACCCTGTACGATGACATCACCTCAACCACAACGGTTACGCCGACTCCGACGCCCGTGCTGCGCGCTAAGCGTCACCTTCATCAGCACCGTCACCACATGTAGATGACGAGATGTCTTGTTCTTTTACCCCAATTTCTCGCAGTTGATCACTCGATTGCATCAGTTGAAGAAAAAAAGAAGAAAAAAAAGAAGAGAAAAAACCTGGGGTCGCGGAATTCGTTCGTGAAGGGCACACATCGGGATGTGGCGTCCTATTTCTTTTTATCCCCCAAGATCCTGACCCAGGAAACGATTTGGCTTCGCATTGGTTCTCTCGCATCTTGCTCAAGGACACTACTGATGTTGTCTGGACATTCTGAGAGCAGACACGCTTTTTTCTGGAGGTAGCTAGCAAGGTACGGCCACGATATGGCCCGTTTCATGAGTTTATGGTGAACATCAAGCGGCAAATCATCAAGTTGTGTTGGCTCTTATCTGTTGTCGGTTTTATTGAGTGAGGCGTGGTCGGGGAGGGGTTGTATTTGCTTCGTGTTGACTACGTCCGTATTGTAGGCGTTGTAGGTCTGGTTTTGAGAGATACCTATTGTTGCAACGATTCTGTTACCGCCAATTTTATCGCCATCCCACTCGTTCTCCCGATGCTATCCTGTTGTCAGTCTCTTGGAATCTGAGTCTCGAGGCTGCTATTCCAGCCGTGCACTATCCGAAGTTGCCTATTCTTCTGACATGTCCTGAACAATGGCGGGGTACTTTCACCATGATTCCCTCTCTGGAAACCAACACAATGTTGTCCCCATTGTCGTGTTCCCTTATACTTGAGCATCCGGAAAATTGGTGTTGTCAGATCAAGCTTCTAGCGGTATATTCCGCCACCCCCTTCCGTCGAACGGTGTGCAATGTGCTAGTGGGCATCTAGAGCGAATCCGGATGAAATCATCCTCCCCAGCTGCCAAACTGGTTGACCTGCATGCATGCATTTATTTTATTTCATTTTTTCCCTTTTTTTCTAGGTGCTCGAATCACACGGCGCCATTCCCGACTCGCCATGGACGCGGCCACTTCCAACCCCGACATATCAAGCCCGCACCCTCTCCGCCGTGGGATCTCAGGCGGCGATCCTCCGCGCACCCCGGGGACAGCATCCTTCATGGCGTTGCATTTCTCCAGGCTAGAGGAAGATCGGATCACCCCTCACTTGGGCTCTTGCGCGAATGAGCTACCTACGATAGGTGGTGCGTTGGTCGGCTGTCCCACACCCCCTATGGTTATCCGCCCGCACTCCTGGAGTCAGCGACGGTTCTTTTGAGTTGGGGTAGGTTGCATTTCATCTTTGAGACTTGATTCTACCCAGAAACCGGTCATCGAGTGGAGTGGGATGGGATGATCGGCGGGTTGATGGTTAAAAATCACGTTGGCGTGTATATACATATATATATACATTCGTACGTGCGCACATTGTCTACATGGACCCCGTAACGTCCTGTACCTATCCATACAATCGGCTCGTTCTTATCCCGAGCGGCCGAGAAGGAAACCTTAAGAACAGCCGCGATAGCCAGGACGACCTCCAAGCACCCGCCAACAACCCCTGGACCCGGCGACCTTTTTCGCGATGCGGCCCGCCTTCCCGTCCGCCTCCCTCGCAGGCCTCGTTCTGTCCACCACGACGGCGGCGCTCGTGAGCCGCGACGGCGCGACGGGGCGCCTGCCCGCGCTGGGGTGGAACTCGTGGAACGAGTACGGCTGCGATATCAACGAGACGGTGTTCCTGGGCGCGGCGCGGCGCATGGTGGACTACGGCCTGCGGGACCTGGGCTACGAGTACGTCAACATCGACGACTGCTGGAGCGACAAGGCGCTGCGGCGGGACGCCGTCACCAGGGAGATCGTCGTCGACGGGGCCAAGTTCCCGCACGGGATCAAGCACACCGTGGACCAGATCCACGCGATGGGACTCAAGGTCGGCATCTACAGCGACGCGGGTGAGTTTGGACCGTCTGGTGTCAATAGTGTGTGTGTATGTGTGTGTGTGTGTGTGTGTGTGTGTGATGGTTGATGATGGAGATCGGGTCAAGGGCACAGGGAGAAGGAATGCCGGGAAGTCTAGTGTTTGGTTCTGTGACGATACTCTGACACATCCATCACAGGGACGTCTACCTGCGGTGGTTACGAGGGCTCGTTGGGATACGAGGAGATCGATGCCGCTACGTTCGCGAAATGGGGTATTGACTGTGAGTTCTTCACCGTTGGGTTTGCGGTCGGTCCCCCCTTGCACTAGGTATCACCCATCCCTTAAGCTCACCTCATCCCTTGCGTCCGGATCTCCGCCTCCACCCACGCTTCGCCCACCTGAGCCCAGTGGTGCGATTATTACACACACATAACTCATATTGTTCGCAGACCTCAAGTACGACAACTGCAACGTCCCCGAGGCGTGGTTTGACGACTGGAAGTACGTCCCCGAGCTCTGGCTCGGCGGCCCCCCCAACGAGAACCAGGACGACGGCCAACCGCTCAACTCCAAGACGGGCAAGCCCGCGCCCGCCGGGTACGACTGGTCAACGTCGCGGACGGCGGAGCGGTACCGCATCATGCGGGACGCGCTCCTCGCGCAGGACCGCTCGATCCAGTACTCCCTCTGCGCATGGGGCCACGCGCACGTCGAGGCCTGGGGCAACGAGACGGGCCACAGCTGGCGCATGTGGGGGGACATCTACCCGGCGTGGGACGGCCTTCACAAGGGATCGTGGGGGGTGATGCCGATCCTGAACCACGCGGCGTTCTGGGGCGCAGGGAGCACCGGTTTCTGGGGCCGCGGCGACTGGGACATGCTCGAGGTCGGCAACGGCGGGCTGACGCTCGAGGAGAGCCGGAGCCACTTTGCATTCTGGGCGGCGCTCAAGAGCCCGCTCATCATCGGCACGCGGCTCGAGGGGATCCGGCCCGAGGTGCTCGCCATCCTGGCCAACCGGGAGCTCGTGCGGTTCAACCAGGACCCCGTGTTCGGCGGCGCCGCGCGGCCGTACAAGTGGGGCGTCAACCCGGATGGGGCGTGGAACGCGACGCACCCGGCCGAGTTCTGGTCCGGCGCGTCCGTCGAGGGGACGCACGTGTTCGTGCTCAACACGCTCGCGGGCACGGCGGCCAAAACGGTCGCGTTCCAAGACGTGCCCGAGCTGCTGGAGGCAGGCCGGCGGCGGCGGTACGTCGTGCACGACATGTGGACGGGAGAGGATGTGGGCGTGTTCGAGAACGAGTACACGGTCGAGCTGGCGGGCCACGACACGGCGGCGTTGCGGATCAACGAGGTTAGGTGTGTCGAGAGGCCGGCGCGCACGTGAGAGTAGTTTCTCACTCTCACCTCGTTGTCCGGGTGGGAAAGGGAGATGGTGTGTGTGGCTCGCGGGGAGATTTTTATCGGCTCCTTGATTCAAGGGAGAATACACTTCGATAGTTTGTCCTTTGAGCTCCGATGAAGGAAGGCTTTAACGAACCCCCATCAGAAGCCCCCCCCTGCCCTACCTGTCCCCCGTCTGGCGGCAATAGGAACGCATAATAGTCTCCGACCGTCAAAGGTGAAGAAGGCTAGGTGGCATACATTATTAGGCTGTGCCTACTCACCTCCGCTGCCTGGCCAGCAACGCGGGCTCATCTCGCATTTGATGAAAGGCGCGCCGAGCCCGCGCATGGCCACATACCAAAGCACCGCATGCCCCCCACCCTATTCTTGAGGCTATTCGCAAGCAAACCCAAGCGTGTCCGCCACACCGCGCCCAGCCCGCAAATTCATATTACATCACGTTCCCTTGCCCTTCGGGACCATGCCGTTTCTAGCCCTGATGGGCTCTCTGGGGTCCATCTGCCTGCGTGCGCGTGCGGTGTGGCTCGAGCAAGGACATACTGCGGTGAGGCGGGGGGGAGGGAACAGGCTTTTTCTCCCTTCCATTGGAATGCATGCCGCCTAGGGCGACGGGATGGCAACGCATTCCCCACGGCCAGATTAGCCTGAGACCAGCGGCCGTCTTCTGATACCCGTCTTCCTTCTGTCTGCTAGCTCTAAAAACAAAATCGAATCCCATCGTCACGGGCAGCGGGTCATGCGAGAGCAGGAGAGACCTTTGGGATATGGACCAGCCATTCGCATTTTTTGGGAACGGAAATCGGCGAGCTTTCTCTGATTCTTGTCGTCCTCGTCCTCCCCGCCCCTCCCCCGGTCGTTCTATGTAGGTAGCTCCCCTTCCCTCTACCCTGGTTCAGTCCCTGTCCTGTTTCCCTAATTGCCTTTCATTCTTCCCGGGGTTTGTTTACACACTGCCAACTATTCCGACAAGTCTTTCCCTGCTTGACATTTTTGAGGGTCTGTCTTCCTATACTGTCCATCATACGCCGAACCAGCTTCTTGCAAAATCTCGAGGGAGAGGGAGAAGCCAGTTTGTACGACGTCAGACAACAGCCTTACCATGAAAGATTCTGGCTGTGGTATCATCGCCCTCAATACCACCGTACCTTCTTCGATATCACCCTAGATCGCCATATTGAAAGCAAAAACAACTCTCCTAGTTTCGGGTCACGACACCTCTACTTTACCCCGTCGTGCCATGTCGAGCCTGCTCCTGCTCGCCCGCGAAGGAACAGTAGGAGGAGGCACCAGCAGCACCAGCAGCGGCGGCGGCGGTGGCGGCGGCGGCGGCATGACTCTACCTCTTCTTCTCGGCATCGCCATCGGGGGCGGCGTCCTGCTCTTCGTATGCCTCGCCTTCCTCCTCGTCGCGCTCGCCAGCCGCCGCTACCGCGCCGCGACCCGCGCCCGCTCCGCGACGCCCGGAGTCAGGCTCGACCTTGAATCGGACGGCGGCTCCATCCGCACGACGCGTCCGCGGCGCCTGACGAAGCAGAACCCAGGAGAGGTGTACACGCATATGGAAGAGGTTCAAGGTAAACCGTACCACTCGCTCTCGTCTCTCGTACTCCCGTGGAACGGTGTCTTCTCCGTGTGTGGAGGGTCGGCCAAGGCCGGTAGTGGGCAGCAGCGCGGCGGTCACCTGCGAAGGAACAACAGCTGGATCGACGAGGACGCCATCCACGGGCCGAGGGTACAGAACGACGGCAGGAGGTTGAGCGTCCGGGACAGCTTCATCCTCCGCACGCCGACGCTACCGGATATGTTCGGGCACGAGAACAAGGACGACTTCAAGTTCCCAGAAGACCACAACAACTACTCCCTTCAGCAGCCTCGCCTGGTGAACCTGCCTACGCAGCGCGGCGCCCACCCGCTCCAGATGCCGTTACGGAGGACGCCGTCGTACGAGATGGCGGAGAGACTGGCCGCCGCGGCGAGAGGCGGCGTCCCTCCGGGCCCTCAGAGCTTCCAGACCTTCCAAACCTTCCAGGGACAACAGGGAGCTCAGGGGCCGCGTCTGATGCCGTTGCAGCGGCTGCGGCACAGAACTACCGAGTCGGACCTTGCCGAGATCCTGCGGTCGACGGAGCAGAGGCTGCAGAACGGGACGCCCAGCAACAGCCGGCCAGCGACCCGGCAGCGAGCCGCCTCCGCATCGGCGGGGTCGAGCATCAGAACCCAGCAGGCGTCGCCCACCAAGTCGAACTCTCCTGTCAAGGCGCAGTCGCCAGCCCGCTCGCAATCTCCGGTGAAGATCCAGGTTCCGCAACACGTCGCTCACGCGTTGAGCATGAGCGCGAGCAGGCAGGGCGCCCGCACGCCCAGCCCTTCGAAGCGTAGGGTCGCCGCGATGCATGCCGAGACCCGGCCGCAACACCTTCGGAACGTTTCGAACTGTTCGGGTTCCTCAGACGCAGACAGCTTGTTCGGAGAGACGACTCCCGATATTGAACAAATGTCGCCCACTGGGCTGTCGACCCCGAGCAGACGATCGGGCAACACTACCCCAACCAAGCCCGCCGGGAATGGCGAGACAGCGGAGTCGCCCGGCAGCGACGCCTCGTCATCCCTCTCGACCCTGTACAGCATCAACGAGCCAGAGGACGACAGCAAGACCGGCGGCACGGGACAACCGCAAGGCATCGTCCGCGGCCGGAAGCCCAAAGGCCTCATCATCGACACCAAGATGTGCGACCCGTTCGTGGCCTCGGCACCCGACGTGCCTCTGAGAAGCCCCAGGCGTCAGACACCCAGCTTCCCGCCCTCGCAACGCTTCACGCCGCACGAAGAAGACTTGGTGAAGGAGACCGTATTCCACGCGCCAAACCACCCGAGGTCCGCCAGGAACTCCCCCGTGCGGGCATCGTTCAACGCGGCGAAGTGCAGCAGCATTGTCGACCAGAGCCAGACGCAGGTTTCCATAGTGATTCATCAGCCAGATATGGTACCGTCTTCCAATACCGTCCGCCCAAAGAGCGTGATGACGATGAAGCCGGTCTTCCATGTCTCTAGCACGACAGTTGCCAGTATGGAGGCCAGCCCCGGCAGCTCTCCCGAGGACAACAACCAGCCCGCGATTCCCAGCAATAGATTGACGTTCGGCCAGAAAGGCACCGTCCTCCCGCTACCCGTCGACTCGATGCCAGGCCAGGGGCCACCAGTTCGTAATGCTGCAATGGGCAGCCCAGAATCGGCGTCCCCAAGAGTACGTAGCTACTCACGGCCCTACACGCCTACCTCCCCAACACGAAAAGACATGCCCAGTCCCGCTCTTTCGGCCGGATCTCCCACGCCTGTGAGATACAAAAATCGCGACGGGGATAGTCCTGTGCGGGACCGCGGTCTCTCCCGCCAGCCACATGTCCGTAACCGCAGCGCCGACCGCGTGCTCTCGATTGGAGCCAATCATCCCTCCATCTTGCTGAAGCCGGCGGACTCACCCATGCGAAGCCCGCAACACCGGGACTTTGGGGCAATGGGAAACCCATTGGGGCTCCAGGCGACCGTGGCCCAGCTCCGCCGAATGAACAGCCAGATGAGTACCTTCAGCATCGGGTCGTCCGTATCCGACCCGGAAAGCCCGACACTGCCGAACATGCGCGGGGGCGGCTTCAGCCCGGAGAGAAGCAACAGCCGCGTGAGCAAGATTGGTCGCCAGAACTACCTCTCCTTGGGCACAAGCCCGAAGGGGAGACGCCACACCCACTCGGCCATCAAGACGCACAGGAACTCGATTGCCGTGCCCAAGGCCCGGCTGGAGACAAACAAGCCATTCGATACGCTACGCGCCACAGTCGAGGAGGAGGAAGAGGAGGCAGGAAGCCTCCAGTTGGCCAGGGGGCCACGACCTATGGTCTCGATACCGAAGGGGGCCGGAAGAGGAGTGGTGAGAGAGACAGGGGTGGCGGTGGAAAATTCGGTTCGGCGAAGGACCGCTCATATCGACGGGGATGACCAGAAGTACATGGACAAGGCATCCAAGCGCAACAGCGATTACGAGAGTGCGTCCGTTCTAGACATGTACATCAAGGCGGCCCAATTACTGGGCTCCCCGGACAAACCCGCTACTGGGGCCTAGAGGCACAGCCCTGGTATGAGGACCTGAGTTCCTCGTGTAACTGTTCCTTTGTCGATGGCGATGGCGATAACGATTGGAGATGTTGCCTTTAACGACGGTTAAGCGGGTATGGTAGGTTTCTTGGGTTGGGTGTTTCTAAGCTGAGCACGGCGTCATTGTAATACCTCGTAGATTATTAGCAACTTCCCAAACATCACAATCACTCAAATTAAAAGATATTCAAGCCAACAAGCCCATAGACCACAGAAGGGATGCATGGCACCTTGGGGGCCGGAAAAGCAGAAATGCGATGAGCCTACCTCATTTTATTGAGCCTGGGCCCTATCCATGGTATCAAGTTCGTTCCTCGTCACACCATTTTTTGTATGCATCCATCTTCCAGCGGGGTCATGACTCATCGACGCGCGGACGCTTGTTGTCGGGGTCGTCGTGACCGTTGACACCTCCGCCATTGACTTCGTCGTGTCCTCGGACCCTTCCGGCTCCCTCACCCAGCTCCCCGCCACCCCCCTCCTCAGCCTCCCCATCGCCGTTCTGGCCGATCCAGTTGCCGTCGGCGTCAAAATGCTCGTGCACGTTCTCCGCCGTGATCCAGCCGCCGCTGCCGGGGAATGCGGGGGGTAGACCCCCGTCGTGAGCGCCGTACATAACTCCGGTATATCCCTCCACGGGTTCATGCTCGCCCTCAAAGACGATACGGCCATCCTCTTCTTCGTCGTCGTCGTCCACCGGATCGGGGTGCAGGTCGGAGCAGGCCGAGATGGCGTCGTAAAATTTCTGGACGTCAACCTGGGCGCCAGCCGTGACAACGGGGACCAGGGTCAGGTCGATGGTATCGAAGTCGTCATCGCCGTCGCCGCCGTCGGCAAGCTGCAGCTGCATCCAGATGGCTTGGAGCGGGGCCCCCTCGGCCATGGTGCCGACCTGCTTGACTGCGTGAATGGAGATTAAGGGGTAAGGGACCTCAACGCCCGCGCCTTGCGCTTCGGAGAAGATTGTGAAGTTCCTATGGGAAAGAAGGTATTAGCAAAGGCGGTCGCTCAGCGCACGGGGAGGAGAGGGGGGGCAGCTTACTCTGAGTTGACAAAGACGGAGACCTGCTGCTCCACCAGCTCCTCGGAGACCTCGTTCAACGTCGCGCCTTCTGGGGCAGAAGCCGTGGTCGCGACGTCAGCCGGAAAGACGGCCAGGTTGCCCTTTTGCGACGCCGGGATCCATGCCTTGGCCCCCTCAAGGTGGAAGTGCAAGACGGGCTTCCCGCCGAAAAAGGTCTCGGGGGTCTGCGACTGGTGATCCTCGATGGGTGTAAAGTCTCCGAGCGACGGAGGGGAGCGGATTGTCGTGGGCAACATGGTGATGATGTCAAAGAGGTCCTGCAAGGGACTCTGCTTGGGCTGTGCTGTGAGGCTGCTCATGGTGGGGGTTTTTTTGCTCAAGTTGAAGCTGGAGAAAGTGAAGCTCTTATCGTTATCGCCACGTGACGAGCGTCCTGGGTTGTGGCTGACACAACGGGGAATGTCGTAATCAGGAAGGCGGTGAGAGGAGCCTTGGTCGGATGGGGGAGATCTGTTCCGAGGGTCTGGGCCACCGATGCTACCCACCACCTTGCTTACCTAGCCACCGGGTCTCTTACGTATCGCAACACTCACTGGGCGTCGCGGGGGACGTCGAGATCCATTCACCGGGCGCATTCGCCATAACTTGCCACGCTCTGTGCCCACGGACCTTCTCGGGTCTCCGTCTCAGACAACTGCAAGTAGAACCTTTTTTGCTAAACTGATCGAGCTTGTATCGCCCTCGAAACGGCATATCTAGACTCGTCCTCTCACTCTTTCTGTCTCTCCCTTCCCCACTGACGTGTTACCCACCACAAAGGCAAAGGCCTCTTATCCATCATGTATAACAACCGTACGTATCCTCTCTTCCGCCTCCTACCCGTCCTGGAAGACCGCTGAAGAATACTAACTGGCGTCCCCAGGCTCCCATCCTCTCCTCCAGCAGGTTCCTCTGACTGTCTCCCCCTTCATCTCCCTCCCCACCGCCACGACCCTGTCCTACAACTACAAGGCCATGCCCTCGGCCCTGCCCCCCTCCGCGACGGGCATCCCTGCCGCTGTGGCGGGCGACGCTACGGCCGCCGCGGCAGGGAGCGGCGGCGGCGGCGGCAACGCGTCGGCGAACAAGCCAAAGTACGTCGTCTCACAGTCAGGCCACGCCGCTCACCCGGACGACATCATCGCCTCGTGCCGCGCGCTGCAGGAGCACATCACCAAGATGCAGGAGGACGCCGAGCGCGACCTGCGCGACCTGGAGAACAGGATACAGGAGCGAGAGCTGGCCGAGAAGAGGCGGGTCGCCCCGGGCTGGCTGGATAGCGAGGCGCGGATCCTGGAGCCCGAAAGGGCCGGCGGCGCCGGCGATACCGTATCCCCCGAGTCCGAGGATGCGCGCCAGGCGAGCGAGATGCCGGTAAATGACCAGGGCGCGGAGCTGGACCGTGTGTTCGGGGGGCTGAGCATGAAGTAAAAGCATGAAGCGACGGCGGTCGTTTTTGTGATTTTGTTTTGTCGGGAGGGTTTTTTTTTTCTGGCTGGCGTCGGGCAATCATACATTAACATTCGTCGCGTTCAGGACTCATCGTCCGTTTTTCCATCCCTTTCTTTTTCTCATTACACATGGGACTATCTATACCAGAGCCTATCTAGCAGTGCTAGGCGGGCTAATTTGATTCCATTGTGGATACTTTAATTTATATCAAGTTCAAAAGGTCTCACGAGCTTCATGGATATTGGTGGTCCGAGTGATCAAACTCTCCTTCCCCTCTCCCCCATTGGTGTTCTAGGGCTATAAGTCACATGGGATTCTAACCTCTGAACTTTGACCGCAGGATGCGGTACCTGAGGGACTCTGGAATGAGAAGTGAGGCGGGACAAGTGGGATATCCAAGAGCACTACACGGTGTTGTTTATCGGTATATTCCCATCAACCTCCGAATCGCCAGTGTCACGCCTAGGGGGGATCCAGTGGCCAATACTCACCAGTGCTGTCAGTTGGCATCGGAACCTTGGGCGTGGAGATAAGCGTTGTACAGCCAGTCAAACTTGCAGATATTCAAGGCACCCTATTAGCTTGCAGATTGAAGTACAAGCCGACACACGGCTCGAATGGCAATCGACAGGAGTTTGACAAAAAAGTTTGATTAGAGTCTTCGCCTCTGAAGAAGCGAGGAGGAGGAGGAGGAGTGATAGCAATCTACGACCTTTCAAAGTTGAACGTGTCTACGCCGCTCTTCTTGCTCCATTGATGGACTAGCTTGTCGCCGGAGCGGCGCTTCTCCCTGAAGAGGGCCTCGGTCATGTACTTGTACAGCCAGGTGTTGGCGCCGTTATAGACGATGTTATGGTCGCTGTCTGTAAAGGCGAGCCAGTTCATCTTGGACTGGGGCACGCCGGCGCCGACGAGGAGGTCGATAAGGGCGGCGGCGTTTTGGTAGTGGACGTTGTCGTCGCCGGTGCCGTGGAGGATAGTGAACTCGCCGGCCAGGTTCTTGAAGCCGTCGGGGTTGCGGACGGCCGTCTCGTTGTAGCCTTCCTCGTTGTCGGTCAGCGTCTTCATGTAGCGCTCGGTGTAGAGCGAGTCGTAGAAGCGCCAGTCGCTGACGGGGGCGACGATGAGGCCGGACGAGAAGACGCCCGAGTTGGCCTCGAGGACCTTGGCGGAGAGATAGCCGCCGTAAGACCAGCCAAAGATGCCAATCTTGCTGGCGTCGACAAAGGCGTTGCGCTCCGCCAGCTGCTCGGCGGCCCAGATCTGGTCGAGGGGCTCGAGGCGGCCAAGGTGGCCGGCGACAGTGGAGCGAAATGCGCGACCCTTGTAGCCGGTGCCGCGGTTGTCGACGGTGTAGGTGATGTATTCGAGCTCGGGGTCCGAGGCGATAAAGGCGCGCCAGTTGATGGACTGGTAGCGCTTTGTGACCTCCTGGGCTCCAGGGCCGCCATAAGGCGTAAACAGGACCGGGTACTTCTTGGAAGGGTCAAAGTTGGCGGGCAGGCGCTGCATCACGTTGAGGCTGTAGCCGTCGGGGTGCTGGAGCTCGAAGTAGGTGATGTTGGGCAGCTTGTACTCCTGCAGGCGGGACACGAGGTCTTCGTTGCTGGTAATGGTCCGGACGGGCCGAGTGGAGTTGATGGCATAGAGCTCCTGGTAGGGGACATTGGGGCCCTGGTAGGTCAGGATGTAGTAGCCGGCCGAGGAGGAGAAGGAGGCGCTCCAGTATCCGGCGACGGTGTCGTCGACGAGCGCCTTCTTGCGGCCGGAGGGGTAAGAGACGGAGTAAAGGTGGCGCTCGGTGCTGTGGTGCTCGGTGGAGAGGTAGTAGATGAGTTGCCGCTCCGTGTCAACCTTGAGCACGGAGGAGACCTCCCACTCGCCGCTGGTCAGGGCAATGGGGCTTCCGCCGTTGGTCGGGTAGAGATACAGATGATTCCAGCCGGACTCGTCTGAGAGGTCGAGGTAGTAGGCGTCGGTGGAGTTCTGCAAGGGCCCGATGTACTGGATTCCTAGGTTGTTGTCGAGCCAGCCGTCGGAGCCGTCGCGCTCGCGGATGACCTTGGAGGCAGAGCCCTCGACGTCGATGCGGACGAGCTTCTCCTGGTCTTGGACGCGGTTGAAGGCGCGGTAGGCCACGCTGCCGTGGTCGGCGGTCAGCCATTTGACCTCGCCGACGACGAGGTCGTTGGCGGGGAAGGCGTCGATGGCGACGGGCGTCGTCTCCTGTGTCTTGAGATCCAAGAGGGTCAGGGCGACGGTGGGGTTCTTGCTGCCGACCTTTGGGTACCGCAGGTCGAGCTCGACGGGGTAGGGGGGCGCGACCTTCTGTTTCCCCATGAAGTAGGGGATGGTGAAAGTTTCGACGCCCGTCTCGTTGAAGCTGAGGTAGGCGAGGTACTCTCCGTCGGGGGAGAACCACAGGGTGCTTCTATCACCGAAGATTTCTTCTTCGTACACCCAGTCGGGCACGCCGTGGAACATATCCGGGCCGCCGTCGTCCGTGATCTGGGAGATGGTGCCATTCTTGCTGAGGAATAGGTTGTTGTTGCGAACGAAAACCTGGATAAGCGTGTGAGCAACGGTCCTACTATTGCTTTTTTGCTAGTGCCTGATGGCTATGTCCAAACTGCACAGGCAGCATACAAGGCAGGAAAAGTTTCAGGGAAACAGAACCAGACTTACAATTGCATCGCCGACGGGGGCAAACTCGGCGTATTGAATGTCGCCTACTTGATCAGCCACCAAAGGCTCGAGCACACCAGATTCTACGTCGAGGATGGAGTAGTCAGCGAAGTAGGAATGGCGGTACTGCTTAGTGTAGTTTGTGGCGAAGAGGACTTTCTTGAGATCAGGCCGGATCCAGTAGTCGTGATGGGCGGGAATCTTGTCGGCGGCAACGAAGGTCTCGTTCGCGCCCGAGACAATGTGCTCGATGACGAGGCCGTCGGCGAGCGTGATGAAACTGCCGTCTTGGGTGCCAGACAGCCAGCTAACGGACAGGGAGCTAGCGCCAAAACGCGGGGAAGCGACCGTCTCATTCCACGTCACCAGGCGGTCGCCGCCTCCGACGGGCTGGTGCGGCGGGCGAGGCGGCTCAATGGCGGCGGTGGCGCGCAGCAGCAGGGCCGCGCCAACGGCTTGAAAGACCTGGCGAGCCATCTCGAATTTCTGGCGTCTCTCCGATCTCTCAAATGTCCGTTGTAGGAATGTATACTAGACACGAAGTGACGAGGGACGGAGAACGAGGACAAGCACCGGAGGGGGGCGACAAGGAGCAGTGAGGTAGGCGATAGAGTCTCGTCTCGTCGTCGGCGGCCGCAAGACGAGCAGCTCGTAGCCCTAAGTTTTATACCTAGGTAGGTAGCTAGTCAAGCTTCACCTCGAGACAATTGACCATTAATCATGCAGGTAGCCCTTGCAGCAGTGGTCCGAGTTCCACCGCAGCAAGGTAGGTAGGTAGCATAAACACAAGTTACATACTTCGTAGCGGTGATGGGACGACGCGCGAATGAGCGCAACGAATGTGCTGATGATGAGAGCAAGTGTGAATGGCGGGCATGTCGTGCTAGGGCGCCAAGCCGTGATGATGGAGACGCAATGTAAATGGCCATGTTTTCATAGCCTTGGTCAGTCTCGGCGGCCTCTGTGACTGGCCGAGGCCGAATCGTTGGAGAAAAGCGACTGGGAGGCTGGGACGGCCCGGGGGAGAGGAGAGAGGAAGGCGGGGTGCTTTGATAAGGACCTGCCAAAGTTGGTCTGATGGCAATAGTATATCAAGCCTGGAATTGACAGCATTGTATCCGTATGCGTAACCCTCTCGGAGAGCCCCGAGAGCCCGGAGGGCCCCGAGAGGCTAAGGATCATTGGTTGCGACGAAAGAGTCTGAGAAGGAAGGAAATTAGATGCGCCATAAAATACCTAACATAGCTAACCAAAAGCACGAATAAAAGGCCAAGGCGGTCTTCATACGATTATACGTGTAGATCCCATTCGGGAAGGTTGCACTTGCACCAGGGTGTAAAACGTGGGGCCAGGTGGTTGCCCAGATAGGCGCGTATCTACCTGGAGCTCGTTCGGTAAGCAAGCACGTAATGTACACTAGGTAAATATCACGTGTGGCGGAAGCACAGATGATTACTAAAGAGCGCTTAGTCATTCACGGCTGTAGCCCACACTTCTGGGGAAAGGCAGGGGGAGGGCCGTCCGGTAATTGACAACGGGAGGAGCGGGGAATCGGGGGAGCAAAAGAAATGCCATCCTTCCATACCACCATCGCAACATCTTTTACCAAAGGTTTACGGGTACAGGGTTGCCCTAGAGAGCGCTTCGATCCAGTCTCAACTTGGTTGTTTACGTAGTATTTGGGCAGCTTGTGCCTTCAATTAGGTGCATTGGCAAGGTATCCATTCATACCCTGGGATATATACTATGGTACAGAGTACCAGGCCGAAATGAAATACCCCTGTTAGGTATCTTACTCTAACACTCACCACCCTACTTATTTCAGTAGCGGGCATTACATTACTGTTTACTAGCCTAGCCGGCTGGACTGTGTGGCGATATTACATAACTGGGGTATTTTTATTTCCCCCTGCCACCTTGTACATTAGGTGCGCACGTAGGTAGCCAACCATGAACTCACCCACCTCACTAACCTACCGAGAGAGTGGTAAAATCATGACTCGTGTGAGACATCAAACATGAGTCGACATGAATACTCTCAACTACAACGTAACACAGTCAAAACCTGGCCGTAGCCGTTTGACGAACAATCCACAATTTCTACTAGACTCGCAAATTCTGTCAGTCCAACCGCCTTAGCACTACATCGATGGGACAGCTGGCACTGCTGAAATAGTGCAAAGTGATGTAAGTGTAGCGAGCACCAAGAGCCGGCCCTTTGCCCTGTTCAGGGAGCGTCTAGGTTTTTGAATAGGATATTGAAAAAAAAAAAATTTTTGAGAAAAAAAAAACCAGCATCTCACCATAGCCAGTTTTTCCTGAACCAAGGAGGTTGAGGATGTGTTGCCATCAGCCACCTTCTGTATTCTGACTAATATCCCAAACTGTGTAGCCACGTCTAGAGACTTGGCTGTACGACTCCAACCCTTCCATTCCACATGAATCCACAAAGGCCGTAACGTGTATCTAGGATGTGTGCTGCCTGATCGATTTTATCCATACCATCGCCCTATGGTTGTCTTTGATGTCGTGCATATCAATGAGACGGGGAACTGCTGATTCCAAGAACCAGCTCACCCTGAGATTGCCCCAGAAGAAGTGGCTGCTGACGAATCCGGAAAGCCATAATTTGCCCAATGTTCCAGCAATGTCTTTGACGCTGTGGTTGAGAAGCGTGTTGAGATTGTGTGTTGGTATTTCTGATGTAATTGTTATGAAATGCCGACGGTCTAGAATCGGCCATGCGCCCTTCCAATATCGACTTGACATTTTCGAGCAGTTAGCCTGTGAAAAAGGAAACTATGCAGAGACTTGTATCATAGTCCGAGAGAGAACCAAGGTCCGGCCGGCGAAACCGTCATGTCGCATTCCATAGAGCAGAAGCCCCTTGCATCAGACACGGCGGGGAAACGACATGTTGGGATAGGAATCCTTACCACCATCTTGGGCTAAGGAGCCCCCGGCATGCTAATGTGTGCGCGCCCGCAGGCAGTACAAGGGAAAATGGATTGAGCCTATGTGGGAGGTGGGCGCCACGCTTTATGTGGAGTCGCTTCTTGCCGTACCGTCCGTCCCGTCCATACCTAAGTTTCCGGCTCGGAAATATTGCTCGATCCGAGCGGGGACATTTCCGAAGACCCGCGGTCCCGAGAGGCTCCCGTAGATCTGCCGCGCTGCGTCGACATTCTCGCCTTGTAACACCATACCATGCAAACACTTTTCATCCTTGCGGGCACTGCTCGCATCTGCCGGTACACTCGTGGCCTGGCACCCGGGCGACAAAAAAGATGGCCGGTTGCCATGTGGCAGTGGTAAGGAAAACCGGCCATCTTTTTCGCCACCAGGGTGCCTGGGAGATAATAGTGGACACTCGGCCGAGTGGCAAGCCTTCCCAGGGGAACCCCTTTCCCCCCATATGCCGAATGGCGGCTTGAGATGTGTGTATCCAATAACAATGCTGAAACAGGCTGCTTGCCAGTCTTCTTTGACAAATGTTTAATGGACGAGCTATAAGGTTCCGTCCAGGCCCCCCACGCCCTATCGTCGCCTGCCAGATCCTTCAGAGCCGTTTGAGGGAGCTGGATTGGGGATAAAGAAGCAACGAAAGAAAGAATAAGAAAAAGGAAATTGGCGTCTTAATTGCCATGTCCAGGGGGTCTGTCGGAATAATTGCCCGTTTAGCGAACCACAAAGCTTTGAGTCAGCCAGGGTGCAAAACGCACGCAGGCCATCCCTTTCTCTTATTCGCTCCGTGTCTAGCCCCGTCCCATGTGGTTCTGTGATTGCTATCTGCTTACTGCTTGGGGCGGATCTTTCTGAGACATGGCCGAGTACCAATCCCACAGCCCTGTGCTCCACAACCCCCCTCCATCATCGTCACGGAAGACAAGGGGGCTGCTTCCCCGACCCAGGCTTGGGGCCGAGGGGTCTTCAACTAGGAGGTCCTAGACCGTCACCTCGTCTTTCCGTCTGGGACGATCGGCGTAGATAGTGGCCGGCCCATCGATGCCGTGCTGCTTGGCGGATCCCCCGCTACGATTGATTGAGCATCGTCGATCGACCTTTTGGTTTCTGGAGACAACGTCAACTCGGTATCTGGTTTTTTATCTCTCAGTGTTCAACTCGACTTATGATGGGCAAATATGCCACATATTCATCTTCCCGTTTACGGCTTGTCTCGTCTATATGTCTATCAAAGAGGCAGGCTGAGACAGTCTTAGGGCCTCCCCAACGTTTGTGATATATCCACTTGACAACAGGCATTTAGACAGAAATAAAAAAAAAATACCTGCGCTGACACCCTGGTCGGTGCACTCTTGCGCCGCAGTTCAATAAATGTGAACCCTTGTCTTTGTCGAATTCCAACCTTAGACCAAAAGCCTACCTACTGTCGACCTCCATCCAGCAAGATCGCCAGCGTCTTTACTTTGACCTTGTCAGGGTTTCCCAAGACCTACAGCAACCTAGCGTTCCTCTGGTCCCAATCTTCTGTCTTACGTCACGTACCGATGGAATGTGACTCTGCGGAAGGAGACGCCTGTAGCTAAGCCACTCTAGGCATCATCGACAGCAACTTTCCCGATCTGCTGCCTGCATTTATCACATTTCATGTTACATCTTCCGGCCGCAGCATATCATGTCCGGGGGTCACCACCACCACCACCACCACCACCACCACCCCTCACCCCTTTCCAACAGCCCAGGCCCGAATCCAAGATGTCTGGCTCTCGCCAATGGGCCGTACCCTTCCCGCCATACACACTATATTCTCACCTGTCAGATATCGCATATGATGAATAACGAAAACCGTGCACCCTATCATGACGACCGAGGACCACCAATCACAACCCGCCCGGTGGCATGCACCCCGCCCGCGCATGGATTGGGAACCACGCTCTTGCGGTGATGGCGTTCGTGATATCATATCACGCCCGCCTCGTCCCCCCGCCTCGGTCAGATGACCGGTAAAGCTGAGAGTCCCATGGTGAGACATCATTGACGACACTACATTGTGGCCAAGCAGGCTAGGGCTTGAGGCAGGGCTTTGAGAAACCGTCTCCTTGGGCGGCGCCGCCCCTTTTGTTCAAGAGTCTCTGTCAAGATAATCCACACCGTCCGCGGAGTACTCTGTCCTCCGCTATGGGTCCCATGCGGCTTCTGCTTTTTCCCAAACCTGTATGATGCCCCCGGCGCACCCGCAGTGGGATCTCTCGTCATTCACCGCATCTAGGCGCTCCCTGCACCATACTCGACAGGGAATCCGCACAAACTCGACGAAGAGAAGAAAAGAAAAGAAAGCCTGGCATGCTACTGTCATATAGGATGGAACATTCCAATTCTGCGTGCTTTAGTTAACACCCAATCACAGTCCTCAGCATCAATGGAAGGTATAACACCGTCAGGTATTCACTCTGCGATTATTCACCTCACGGATCTACCCAAAGTCATGGAGCCGAGTATTGACTCACTGCGCACTGCGGCTTTACTAGATAAGCTAGGTTACCTCATCGGCCGTTGGCCATCTCTAAAGAACCCATCAGCTCTGGAATATCGACGTGAAACTGCCACGCAGCGAAAAATGACAAGATACAGCACAGTCGCGGCAAAGACGGAGCCCTCCCTCTGGGACCATTACACCCATCAACTTACCCACTTCGACAGGTTTGTCTCCCTCCTCGGCAAGGACGGGCAACCCGCACGCTTCGAGACCGTGGATATTGCCGACCTCACGACCATCCAGTTCTTGCCGGGGAAAACGGGCGCTAGAATTGTCACGAAAAAGTCCTCCGGCGCGAGTCCGTCGGAGAAATTCGTCTTCAAGGGCATGGACTTTGACCGGTACAAGAAAGACAGCGCCGACTTTCGGCAACACCAAGAAACGACGCTCCTCCACGAGATCCGCACGCTTCACGCCCTCCCAGCCCACCCGAACATCATGCCCTGCCCCCGGGCCCTCGTCGTCGTCCGGGATGGGGACGGTCGGGACCGGATATGCGGCTTCCTGCAGCCCGCCATGGACAAGGACTCGCTGGACGAGCAGGTCATGCGCGCCAACCGGGCCGGCCGCCGCATCCCAACGGCGCTCAAGGCCAAGTGGTGCTACCAGATGGCCCTGGCCATACGACACACACACCGGGACGCCGGCACCTTCCACATGGACCTGAAGCCCGGCAACATCCTCGTCGACGACTATGACAACCTTCGCCTCATCGACTGGGAACAGAGCGGCTTCTCCATGTTCACGCACCCGCCTGAGGTCACCGTCGACCAGGAGGCCGAAGAACCGGCCGGGACCGGGACCGGGACCGCGCGGCCCCGGATCCTTTACAATCCGCGCACCGGTCCGCCACGCAAGAACCAGAAGTGGGGCTTCCCGGACTGGAACGTCCTGCCGGAGTGGAAGGCGACGTGCCCGCGCGCCGCCGAGCTCGCCGAGGTCTTCAGCCTCGGCAGGACGATGTGGATGCTTCTGGAGCAAGTCGAGCAGTCGGCCGATCCGACTATATGGACTTCCGTGGCGTCAGACATACCGCGGGAGTGGAAGAACATGGTGATGCGGTGCGTCGAGAGGGACCCGAACAACAGGCCAGAGCTGGATGAGGTCGTCGACTTTTGGCGGAGGCAATTGTAACATACCGGTCCCGTGGGGCGAGTGTTTTGTTTTCTTTTTCCTTCTCAACCTTAGTAAACATGTATTCTTAGACAAGCATTACTGCAACAGCGAGTCCAGCGTCCAACTCAAAGTTAAAAAAAAAAGGGATTAGTGGCCCGTTCAAGACATCTAATTCCCAAGCCAACTCTGCGGGATTTCTCTGGCCTGAGCATGACGGCCTCTCTCGTGTGACTGTCTAGTCTAAAATCTATTTCGGAATATTCATTCGGTGTGTGTTTTTCAGCCATGCCCTGGTCATCTCTTCATAGTGGCTTTAACCGTCCTAGGTTCCTTGCATGCTAGCAACACGCTCCAGGTTCCTTTTCGCTGAACATCTAGTACTCCGACTTAGTAGCAGTTCACAATGCCGTCCAGGTGTAGGCATGTACCTTACCGACCTTCCTACCTCAAAGTAGCGGCTATTATCTAGTTAAAACAGTACTTTTGGTAAGTTAGGGTAAGCTTGACGTAAGTAAGCTATAGCTGGTAGTTGTCCCGCAGCCCCATGGCATTGCTCTCTGTTGAAAAATGGGCATCATCAGATCTGGAACAACTCGGATGCTGAGGCTCGCCTAGCAGCCCAATTCTATTCGCCTTACTCCTTCTTTTCACTTCCTCCGGCAACAGTAAATATCACCAATTGAGGTACTCATACTGTTTCTTCACCCATCGGAAAGGCTTCATCACCCCAGCGAGAACCAACACTCTCAAGTCAAGTGACAGCCCACGACAATCCATTCAATCTGCGACAATGGGTTGAACCCTGGACATGCCGTCTACATTTATTTGCGTAAAGGGATCGCTGGTAACACCAGTCCGCGATATGAACCCCCCTCCCGGCCCTCGGCATCTCCACAAGCTCAACTGCTACCTCGAGAGCGCGCCGGCGCTCGAGCCTCGGTCTTTGCCTTCGTATTTTGTTTTTGTGTGTGGGTGCTTTGGGATGGCTATTAGAATGTCCTCGCTTTTGTAGCTTGGAGTTGGCCAGCTTCAGCCTCTTGTTCTGTCGAGGGTTCTATGCCTGTGCCGATATGGGAGGCGCAGTGTGTATTGTCGTCTTTCGCTGCATCACAGGCGGGAGAGTCTAGGTCTTCCTTGAACATCAGCTGGCAGAGACTTTTAACCAGAAACCAGATCCATCTTGATGTATTCGTTGTGCAGCTTGCGTATCTTGAAGCGAACACTTGCCTTCCTCGCATTGACCGATACTTGAAACAAACAAGTGACAAAAGAATCCGCATAAAGGCAAAAATGGCGTAATGTAGAACCGAATGAAAATGCAAGAATTGGTTGATAATCCCATCAGAATGACACATAAACCTGAGCTCTCGACAAAACATTCGAATTTCTGGCATATAAATACAAGATAAAGCAAAAACTACCGAGGGCAAAGACGAAAACACACCAAGATAGGCCCCCCCCATAGTAAATAAATCCAAAAGAAAGATTAACACCCTCATGGCAGTACTCAGAGTGCGGGTTGAATACCCAGGCGCACCATATTCGTTTCACCAAGCACACAAAGTCCGGATCCAACAACCACACCTCCAAAATGCATCTGCCTTGATCCTTGGACACTTTGCTTCCGGTCTCGTGCACGAGTAGGAAATTTAACAAATATCCATCTTCTGGAAAGAGGAGCCTCAAAAGACCATGCCCCGAACCCTTTTTGAGCGGTGCCGGAGCAAGATCAGTGAGAAGAAGCTGGACCTCAATTTCAAGTGCGTCGCACCCTTGACGGCCACGACAGCCACAGTCGGGTTTCTCTGGTCTCCGGTATTACTGCGAACGGCGATCGATGAAACCATGGCAGTTCTTCATTGGCCTGCAACGCCAGTATCCGTGACTGTCACTTAAGACTTCGTCTGAGGGTGTGCACTTAACTGGTTCAAAGAAGAGGGGATGGAGTTATAGCAGCCAGGGATCCCTCGTTCGCCGTAATGACTGATAAGGAAGGCCGAATCTGTGGGCAGCTGCTTGATGAGATGCAGCATACCCTCTTTCTGGCCCCATCCGAATCTCCACCTGAGTCCCAGCAGCGGAAACGCGGCTCGTACTCTATCGATGGGGTCCCCAGTGTGAACGTTTCTGTAAGCCTCGACCAGATCAAGTAGCCCCGACTGGGCTGGGGGAGAAGATGTTCCACGTGTGGTCGATAAAGTCTTCAGCAAACCGCTGTATCGGTGATGACGGGATCCCATAACCTCCTCTTCCAAGAGCGAAATGATTTCATCCAAATCTGTTGCTCCATTCGCTGTTATGATCCAGACTTTCTGTCCTAGGCGTGACTCGGCCACAGTCCACATCCTCCTGATCCAGCGGCCCAGGGAAAGGATGACAGCGACGTCAATGGGACTGCCGGTGTTCAGTTGAAGTGCCAGGCTGTCTAGCACGACCACCTTATCCGCCCGTCGATACACCGAGCTCAAGTTGTTGATGATATCGACACGGAGAGATTCAATCTCCGTCTTTTCAGTCGGGGTCATGTCTTCGAGGACTTCCGGCATCGCAATAACATCTACCCAAAGCCACGTCGCGCCGCAGCGATCAAAGAACTTTACGAAGTGTGCTTTGGGTACCCCCCTCTTCCTCAAGCTGAGATCCAGCTTCTCGAGACCTCCGGGTCCTTTCCACCCCATGGTCTCTTCCCAGACATGAGACATAACCGAGTAACCGGATGGCATCAAATTGAACATTCCATCTCGGTTGACACAGAGCGCAGCTTGCTTGCCAACAGACTGGCGGACGAGGTCGAGCGGTGCCTTAACATATTCATCTATATCAGCAAGCATTAGCAATTCTGTAATCCCATTTTCGCTCCATGTCTGTCATAGGAACATAAAGATCCGCTGCTTGATACAATGCACGCTCCAATGACAAAAAGAAAGATATGAAACCTTTAGGGTTAATACCTTGTATTTGATGTTGATTGACCTCTGGCCCACATGGGTTCTGGTCGCGCCCTCGCAGGGTCAGTTGGCGCAGCACCGGCTCGACATCGGTGGGCTCCCAAAGCTGGAGCTCAGTCTTGACCGCTAGTGCCGACCTTTGGGACCCGATGCCATACCGTTCCATCACCCTGCGGAGAGAAGCCTGGTCAGAACTCTTTCCAGCGTTCAGAGTGCCAGAGCTGACGAGTCTTGTCGGCTCATCCGGAATGCGTTTGCTGGCCTCAACGGGATTCGAGCTGCCCAAGGTACCATATCGCGCGAATAGCCGATCTGGCCCAGGTGCTATCATGCCATTGAGAGCCATCTTAAGTTCAAGGAGATTGGGGGAAATGATTGAAATAATGGAAAGGATGGAGATGATGGAAAATGACACAGAGAAATACCACAGTAATTGATTGAGAGCGCGCCTGTTTTTTATATGTTCCTTATGAAATTCAGACTACTCGATCATCGAGCCAAAGATAGCACTGCCTAGGCTTGTCCTTGGCCGGATTTCTGGCCCTCGCAGATCATAAACTCCAACCTGGTGTTGTCTGGGCGGCTAATTATTTAGTTAACCGCCCAACTGGGGCTAACCGCCCAGCAGCCACCAACCGTCTAACAGGAGCCACTCAGAAGCCCGCAGGTCATAAAACTTGCTTGACGGTTTATCTAGCTTCGGCGCTTTATTTCATGTGTTTCCCAACTGCTTCATCACACTTCCCTTAGTCCAACTACCTGGGGAATTTCGATAAGATGTGACGTCGATTCAAAAATAGCCAGACAGGCTACATGTTGGACCCAGCCAGAGGTCAAACGCCGTAGGTGGGCGAATCATTGACACTCTCAGAGTCACAACAGCTGGTTGGAGCTGGCTAAATGTCTTCGCCGAACCAACATTCAATTCCGCCGGCGGGGCTCACTCTAAGCTTATGGAGCGTTGGACGCAGTGAAACAATACCTCGGCGGGTCGACGTTGGTATCGTTTGAGGTGCATGCATGTCGAGTACGTGTGAGCCTGTGTTGTGACAGTATTGAGAGCGGTAAATGGAGCGTAAAGAAGCGAGTGATGTTCCGTGTTGTTGGGGCCTTGACGGGATTGGTGATACGTGGTATTGGTGTGCGGCGAAATGTTCGCGGTCAAAAGTCTGGATAGGGTACGATGCAATTAGTTATGTCACAATGTCAAGCTAGTCTGCATTTTCGTCGAAATTGTTGCTTATATTTCGGCACTATATTTTCGTGCCTTTTGATGTTTTACTTTTTTCATCTTGAATGCAGAGCTCAATGAAGTCTCTGCCTTTCCCGTAATTCGTCCCAAAGACACATCGGCTTCACTGGTTACCCAGCGTCTTTCCGAGCTCCTCACCGCGAGACGTTGCGGCTTTGACGGCCTTGTCGACAATGTCCTGGAAGCCAGACGCCTCGAAGCTCTGGAGAGCCGCGTGCGTCGTGCCGTTGGGGCTGGTGACGTTCTTGCGCAGCTGGCTGGGATCTTCAGGCGACTCGACGAGCATTTTGCCGGCGCCCAGACAGGTCTGAGTGGCCAGACGCTTCGCCTGCCCTGGCGACAAACCGAGGCTGACGGCGCTGGAGATCAGGTGCTCAACCATGGCGAAGAAGTACGCGGGACCGGAACCTGCAGACCGATTAGCACTACCTCCGCTGCGATGCACGTCGTGGATGCAACTCACCCGACAAGCCGGTGACGACATCAATCAGCTCCTCCTTGTCGACCCACTCGGTCGCCTTGCTGACGCTCGCCATGAGAGACTCGGTCAACTTTTTCTCTTCCTCGGTGACATCGCTGCCCGCGAACAGACCCGAGGCACCCTCGCCCACAAGGGCGGGGGTGTTGGGCATGACGCGCACGACGTGGGGCGTTCGGCCGTCGTCGAGTGTCAGCCACTTCTGCAAGGCCTCGAGGGTGATTCCGGCGGCGATGGAAACGACGACGGGGGTCTTGTCGTGTCCCGAGACGGCCTTGGCAAGCTCGTTGCAGACGCCCTTGGCGACTTGGGGCTTGACAGCCAGGATGGCGATGTCGGCGCCGACGAAGGCTTCGGCGTTGGAGGTCGTCGTCTTGACGCCGAGGGCGGCCATCTTCTCGCGGTTCACCTCCCACGGCTCCGAGACGGTGACGTGCTGCTTGTCAATGCCCTTGGCAACCAGGCCTCCGATGATGGCTGCGGCCATGTTGCCACCACCTAGTTTACCCCGCGTTAGGTCATCCCAGTCTCGGAGGCATAACATAACGGAACGTTGAACATACCGATGAAGGCGATCTTGCTAGATTGAAGAGTAGGCGCCATCTTGAAATGATTGAGTTGAGATGATTTAGATCGGTGAGATTCAATACTACTGTGAGGGCCTCCGGGGTGATGGCCACGCCGTGCTCGGAAGAGTTTGACTCAGCTCGGAAACAATGGCGCCGTGGTCGGACCCACCTTTTCACCCGAAGCGCGGAGCTTAAATACCGACCCACGTTGCATAATAATTACCGAAGACCAGAAAACGGTTCGTGGCATACTCACTACTCTCTGTGATTGCACAGCCTCTGTATATCTCGTTGATGAAGATCGTTGTCTTGTAAGCTTCGTTCGAACTCTATTAGCATGAAACTTATTCACAGTAACGAAGGTTATTACGCGCAGCTTGAATAATAATACTCCGCTGAAAGATAGAACAGATGCACAAGGCCTCACCAAAAGTGATCAAACTTGCTAACATATCAGAACAAGCAACTGTATTTAATAAGTCTGGATAGCCTGAGCTATAATATACGCAAGGAATAGTTTCTCAGCACATGTCGACGGGCTTTTAGCCATGTGGGAGCTGCTCCAGCTTAATCACTAAAGATTCAAATTTTGTACCCTCATTGACCAGCTGACAGGGCTGGGAAAAGCATCAGGCTCAGCAGGGCTAGGGACAGGTGCTTGACCGTGACGTGCAGCGAAACTCTAACGAATAAGCTCTTATCGAATTATTTATTAACATGAAATTACTTGGTTAGGTTGATTATACCACGACAAACGACGACCCCTTTTCGCCAACTAGACGTGAAGAGTGCCATATCCAGTCTCGCCACCACCGACAACATCGACAGAGATGGGTGCCTCATACGGTGCACCGGAGCTGCTGAACTCTCCCTCAAGGGTGATAAACGGCGTATCCTTCCAGGTCTGCTGGATCTTGCGCGCGCTCTCCAAGAATCTCGTCTTGACATCTGAGTAATCGGGAACCACGAGCTTGCGATCCTTCTTGACAAACTTTCCATCAACCAGAACATGCTCAACATCGCCGACGCTGGCGTGCAGAATCACGGCGGCCACAGGATCGGCCCAGCCGAGCAGGGCAGGGCTCTCGCCGTCCCAAACGATGACGTCAGCCTTGGCGCCCTCGGCGATGATGCCCAAGTCAGAGCGGCGCAGGGCGAGGCCACCGTTTCGGGTAGCCAGGAGGAAAGCCTGGTTGACAGTCATGGGCGTGCTGGTGGGAATGCGCCACCGGTCGAGTACCTGCTGATAGAGCAATCTTCTAGTGCTCTGCAGCCAGATGCGGGCTTGCGTAAGGATGTCGGTTGAGTAGGTGAAGTGGGTGTCAACTCCCAAAGCACCCTGATCCTGAATGAGATGGCTGTGCGGGTGGGTATGGCCGTAGTGCATCTCCGATTCGGGAGTGATTGAGATGTACTGATTGGTAGAACGGAGAAGGGAAGCGCCCTGGTAGGTCAAGTACGAGGCATGGGAAAACACGATGGGTATGCTGGTGTTAAGAGCGCCGACGGCATGAAGATCCTCAGGGCTGTTGGTGGCTGCGTGCCTGTCAGCATGGATGCACGAAAGATAGGAACCATTGATGAGGACTTACTACCCCAAGGCCCCTGAAGGCTATGAGTGGTAATAACGGAGACGTTGAACTCCTTGGCGAGATCGACTACGGCGTTAACATCAGCCAGGACGGGGTCGGGGCCGAAGAAGTCGCAGGCAACGCCGAGGCTGGTAGCAGTGCCGTCGAACTCGGCCTTGGTGGCGATGTCCCTGAAGTTCTCGAGCTGCTCCGAGACGGTGTAGTTGGTGACGTTGTGGAAAGCGTACGACCAGAACACTCTCGCGCCGCTGTCGATGCTGGCCTTCAAACCGGCCTCGGCGGTCTGATTAGACCAGGTGTGATGGGCATGGTCCAGCATCGTGGTGACGCCGGCATTCAACGCCTCGTACAAGCCCGCGAGCTGGCCGATGTAGACATCGTCAGCATTCAGAAGACCGACAGCGGCATACTCGCCGTAGCGGGTGAAGTACTCGGCCAGCGACGTGTTTGAAGCGATAGTCTTGAAGGCCGTCTGCCAGCCATGACGGTGTGTGTCAATGAAACCGGGGGTAATGATCTTATTCGTCGCGTCGACGATTTGGGTGTCGTTGGAGGTCTTGGGTAGCGACTGGTCTGAGGTATAGACGGACGTGATACGGTCGTCCGTAATGAGGAGCGACCCGTTGCGGATGACATTGAGGGAGTTGCTCCCCTCGTCGAAGCCGATGATGGTGCCACCCCGGAGGAGGATCGAGGACGCGCTCGCCAGGCTCGCGGTGGCCGTGAGTGCCGCAGCCAATGTGAAAGTATGCATGGCGGATGTATGCATAGATTATGGGCTGTCCTTTAGCTCTGATGCTTACACCGCTGTTGACTGCAGCTCCATGTAAAGGCAATTTGAGCTTCTTCCGGTTGGCTTATATAGCTTTCGAGAAACTGACCCGAGCCGCATCCTGTCCAGCTAACGCACAAAAGAAATGAAAAAAAAAAAACCCCCCCTTCACCGACTGACAAAAGGACCTAGAATCAAACCCTGGGTATAGACCGGCTCGGCATTCTGAGAGGTGGGATGTATGTGGGTACCGGAGGATGCCAATTATCGACTTGAGCATTGCTCACGTCACCAAATATGCGCTAATGGATATGTCCTCTCCATCCCACACTAGCCCAATCGATCAAGTCCCCGAAGGAACGCTGACGATGTCGTCATAAGGACGTTGAAAGGTAGCTCCATGGTGGACCGGTGGGTTTATCTTGTTTTTCTCAAGGTTACGGCTACGAGATGACGGGGAGAGGTAGACCGTCAGTCTCCAGTGACTGGTTCTCGCTCCGCATCGGGCAGAAGAAGTCTGTTGCCAGTTCCTGTATCTTCGATTGTCTACATAAGCTACCCCGTGATTCTCGTCCTCGGATCGTCGGCGATACACCGTTGTTCTCCCGAAGGAATAGGAAACGCGGAAACCAGTACGTAAATGGAATGATGTAGAAATTAGATCTCCGCTCTTCGGCACTTCGCGGGACCCACTCGGCTTCCCGACGACCCCAGCTCTCGCTAGTGGGTTGCATACTCCAGAGTCTGCTGCCGGGGCAAGGGTTCTCGTATTGCTTGCTGTATCGTCCCATGAGCCAATGTATTAGACCCTCTGCCTTGGTACAGCGACGAAGCAAAAGTTCCGTCCATTCTTTATGTATACAAAACTCCTGTCTTATCTATACTGATACTTGATATAATTAGCAACCTTTTACTTGAATACCTGCTCATCAGTATAGTACTTGTAACTTTGGCATTTTAACTCTATTCAATGAGGCCTTTTGTAAAGTTTTAGTATGAGGTAGTAGTAACTCGGTCGAATTTTGATGCCCCCACTGTACGTTTACATGGGGTGTTATTCCACCTCAGCCAGTTGTCAGTGATTGTTAGGTACCACCTGACATGAACCATGAAGTCGAATGATCCAAGTGGTACTGGCTGCATATACTGTTGTATGTAAGTGGCGTCTTCCGTCAGTACGCGGATTTATCTTCACCTCGCCATCTTCCTTCTACCCCTGTAAAGGACCGCAGGAGGGTTTACAGTGGGGAATTCCATCATGCAATTGGCCAACGCTAGGCGATCTGAAGCCGCGGACTTGCGGAGTTATGGATTTACACGCATAGCTGCACCATCATCTGTGGCTCGGACTCTCCATCACCGTTTAATACCACAACTTGCCAAGGTAATTCGTCGTATTCAACGCCGAGAGCCTCCGTATAACGGAGGTTGAAATGGGTTTATTCCGGAAGGATTCACATCATCTGAAATATTCTTTGTAATAGACTAGACTGATGGCACTCGGCTTAAGGCTCTTGCTCCTCAACTGTGGGACATCGAGAAGCAAATCTCTGAATTCCGAGACCTCGGAACCCAGAAGTGTGCCTGAAGCAAGATTTGAACGTTGAAGTACATTTTCGTTTACAACCAGACTCGCATGGTCATTGGATATTCCACCAAAAAGCGCTTGACAGCATAATAATCAATACCATTTCTGATAGAGAACGCGACCAAATGACAATTTATCGTAAGTTGAGTCAAACACGTCAAGCCTTGTTGTGCTACGAATCATCAACATTGATAATTGATCACCAGAATGGACCACCTCAAACAGGCTTAAATATTGTCACCTTGTTAGTCATGTATTCTTATTCTTCACCGACTGAAGTGGAATGACTTTGACGCCATTACTTGCTGTGCTCAAATGTAAGATGCCGATCCCCACTTCCGTTGGAGGTTTGATGTTGATTGATATCAAGTTGATATCTCAAGAAAATGTGATATTATTCGCACCAATAATGCCAGACCATCACTCGAATAAACTCCTGGGGATGTATTTGTTAATAGTTCATGGCCTCTTGAGAAATACCAGAGGATCAGGATACAATTATCTTTTCTACAGCATATCAGTTGGCCCTTAAATACCCAGAAAAGAAATCTCGTTTCTCTCCCTTTGAACTCTATTATATGCCTATATATTCTAATCTCCAATGTCCGTACATGTGTGTGTGATTCTACTCCGACCTATGTGGGTAACACTTTGAGAATAACAAAACTTCACTGCCTCATGCTTGATATACTGGTTTATTTCCTGTACAGCCATTCCCGAACCTTGACGTCTGGGCTGATCTTCGACTTGCGGGAATGTTTGTGCTTGTTGTCCCAGATTTTAGTTGCCTCGCCAGTTTTGGGGTCCGGCACCAAGACCTTGACGTTGTTCTTTGTATCCACGTCAATAATGGCGGGAATTACGAAACTAGACCCCGGTGCACGAGATGTGACTTCGTCATCGAAATCCTGGCTAAAATCGGAGTCGCAGCTGTCTTTATCTTCTCTCGGAGCCGGGTCTGTCGGAAAAATCATATACTGACGGAAAGATGACGCTGGCGCTGCTGGAGGCGACGGACGATAGCAATTTGCTTGTTCAGGCTGCACGTAGCTAGAAGCCTGACTTGGTGATGATTGAGCTTGAAAATCCCATTCATATCTGCCTAGAATAAGATCAATATCAAACAGCATCTATTCGCCCAACCCAAATTTGCTGACCGATTGCGTTTATGCGAGTGCGGTAATAGAAGCCTTGTTCGGCGTCTAGTGCCCATGCTGACCAAGGTCCAGGTGACGGGACCATGAGTATTTGTGGATGCGTTCTGATAACCTCTCCTTGAATAAAATCTTTGTTGAAATCTCGATGCGGGCTCTCCTTGCGCAGCCGATTGTTCCCATGCCTCTTGTGATGACTGCGACGTTGTGCCATTGCAGTTACAGCCTTCAGTTGAAAGTATTTTGAGCTTGCTTCCAGTGCCGGGGTAGGTTGAAAAGACGACGAAAATCCATTTAAGATAGATTTGTGAAAGATAAGATATCGAATTCTATTGAATTTGCAAGAATGGGAATCGCTCCAAGGATATACTAGTAGTGCCTCTAGCATCTTAGATCAGCCTCTATTCGATTGCATCCAATGGAGGGGGCACGTTTGCGCCTGAGTGATATTATCCACCCAGTTCAAAACGGAAGAATAGGTCGCATGTGCCGCACTGGGGGCTCAAATTGGGTACGCCTCTGGGCAGCAAAAGATATGCGGCTTGTTCAATTGGGTAACGACATTTTCATTGACGCTTTAGGAATTGAGAGTTCGCCAGCCAATCGCACGCATCCCAACAATTTGGAGGTCCTAGCATACACACGCCGAGGAATATCCCGAATCAGACAGATGCTTTAGCACCATGCATCGACAACACCTCTTGAATCATCATAATGGTTGCTTTCGGGCCGCATCGATAGCTGATGTTGCTCACGAGGCCGAGTTGAAGCCTAGATCAGGCTCCCTCTTCCCAGTCAGATGACGAGTCACACCCGAGCTCTCGTCATTACGGCTCTTTGGTGTGCTTACTGACAGCCTAGTTTGCAGATGTTGAGGGCGGTTTACTGAAGGCATCAATGATGTGGGCAACTCAGACTCGACTCCACGTGCTCTTAGGCGATGGCGAACCGCAATGCCTGGCAGCCCAACCTGCTGCATGCTGATTTGCCCAACGCCACAAAATGCATGCGAAAGATGGAGTACCTTTTAGCCCTTGGATGCGAAACGAGCGAATGCTCACGAAGTCCCAGCTTGTGTGACTTTGCAGCCTTGGTATGCGTTGGCCAGGCATCTCCAAGATGTACAGCCCGCATCCGAAATTGTGCACGTGTCCGAGCTTGTATGAAGCATCGATAAAATTTGCAGCATTTCATGAAATTTTAGAAAGGCTATCCAGGTGCATTTTAGGTAACATTGACTTATAACTAACGCTAGTTACTGAAACAAGGTATATTGTATTTGCTGTGAAGCTTCGTGTGGCTAGTATCTGTTGTGATTGCCACAAATGTGGCTCACCGTACGCACAGACCACCATGTATAGGTATCTCTACTCGGCATTGCGTCGTAGGATAGGTCAACTACTTTACATTCTTTCTAGCAAATGTTGCGGTTCATCACAGCAATGCTTTCTCCCTAAAACGGGGCATCTTTATGTACTTTAGATCTAAACCATCCTCTGCTATTAGTCGTCCTAGTACTTGCTGAGCTAAATGCTTGCAACGTCTTTTTAGGACCAACTTGCCTAGCTTTTAGCTGATTCAACACGATTCAGCGTAGATATTTTGTCACAACAGCTTCATACAGCACGTGTCAGGTGGTCTGTCAGCTGCTATATCACGTAGTGTGTCGCTCATTACTCGCATCACTTATGTGTATGCAGGATTATTTCTTCACACTACTACTTCTAGAGGAATAAGCCTTTCTTACTTCTATTCTCATATGCCCTGCTGTGTGCTCTAACTTGTGACACACTTCGGCCCTCTCATTGTAGTGATGCTCAGAGTTGTTTGCTAACTCTCCAACATTTATCTGTTTTGTTTACATACCATTCTTCCGATAATCAGATCATCACTATAGTAGCTGATATGCCTGCTTTATCGCTTATCCGTTCCCGTCCGACGAAGCTCGTAGCCAACTCTAGAAACTGGATTCTCAAGTTATCATTCATATCACTCCGATACCCCGCGCTGCCGTAATCACTGCAGTGACAATTCGAATCGCACGCCATGGCCTGACATGCTGTATGTGTTAAGTAAACTTCTTATCGTAATACCGCGGAAGCTTTGCATCCGGACCCTTCGGCCAATGTGCAACCCCGCCCCCATTCCCAACCACACTAGGAGTCAATGACAGTAATGAAAACAACTTCCCCACCTACGATAAGTGCGCCCAAATTCCCAAAAAAGCTAGACCGTTGTAGTTCCGAGACATGTGCTGGAAGCAGCAGTGGCCATAAGAGAGTCAGTGAACAAGTTGAGGATGACCAGTATAGAAGTGCGTACCCATAGTTTTCAGCCTACAATTCCAACCGAGGGTCTTCATCCTTGCATCTTAAATCTTTCTTTACGCATAACTAGATTTCCGAATCTATTCAACTCGGCGACATGTTGCGTTTTCTTGGTCTTTCTTCGGCAACCAAAGATGTCATGCCTGAATCCTCACGAAGCCTTCCGGCGTCGTGGTATCGGTCCCCAGAACTATACCAACTTGAGCGGCGAGCCATCATATCCAGGAAATGGATACTAGTCACCCATTCGCTGCGATTCAAACAGACCGGAGACTTTCTTTCCTTTGTTTACGCTGATTTCCCTTTTTTCTTGATCCGGGACCGCGATGGTAACATCAACGGCTTCCACAACGTTTGCCGTCATCGCGCATACCCTGTCATCGAGAAAAGATCAGGCAAAGCAAGCATCCTCAGCTGCAAATACCACGGCTGGTCATACGGCTACAAAGGAAATCTTGCAAAGGCCCCAAGATTTGACACAGTCAAGGGCTTCGACAAGAGTCAGAACGGACTACTACCCATTCACGTCCGCGTGGACCCGGCTGGCTTCATTTGGGTGAACCTGCAAGCAGGTGATCCACAAGTGAAATGGGAAGATGAATTCGGCGGAGTCTATCAAAAACCGAGGATGCAAAACTTTGACTTCTCTGGTGGTTATACCTATGATCACGTGTGGGACATGGAGCTGGAAGCCAATTGGAAAGCGGTGATCGAGAACTACAACGAGTGCTACCATTGCCCAACATCCCATCCCTTGATCGCAGGGGTGTCGGACTTGACGAAATATCGCGTTGAGCCTAGCGGTGGATGTCTCGAGCACGAAATTGTCAACAAAAAGGCCCAAGACGAGGAAGACGAGTTTCGACGATCTATCACTTTCTTCTATCCGTCAACGTCAGTTACAATCACGTAAGCAAGCAAACAAAAACTCGATTCCTGCATGAAACCTTTAGCTAAGATCCCCTGGAGCCAAAACTTTTTTTACATCCAACGAATGATTCCTGTCAGCGCGACCAGGACTAGAATCGAAAATGAGGTCTATCGATCTCACACTGCCACGGATGCCGAGTTCACTGCAATCAACGCATTCTACAGACAGGTTCTAGAGGAGGACAGAGAACTTTGTATAGGTGCACAGGAGAATCTCAATGCTGGCGTCTTCATCAGTGGCGAGCTTCATCCGGACAAGGAAAAGGTACGAAGAAGCCTATGTGTTTACCAACGTTGTTAGTACTGACTAGTAGTTATTTAGGGACCCATTCACTTTCAGAACACCCTCCGAGAAGAGGTCATGGCACATCGGCAGAAAGAACTGAACCAAGGGGGGAAGGAGATATGGCCTGCAACTCCACAACTGTATGGAGATATGACTACGGGGAAATTGTGCGAAGACGAAGCATTCTGCGCAGATCTTGAAAAGGCAGGTTGCGCATCACGACAGGAGCTTGCTTGGTGAGCTCAAAGCAAGAAATAATTCAATGAAGGACTTGTCAGAAACAGACGTGTATGGAATATGATGTATGAGAACACAGGGTCACTTCAGCGCTCGGATTAGTCTTGGGATTCATGGTCAGATTGAAAACGGTTTTCTGCAATTTCCAAGATTCACCTATCTGGACCGCCATCTTTCTTTCCTGTGACTTTCGGTTAATCGTGATAACAAACATCTGGGCCGAAATCAACCTGAAGGAACGAAATTGAGTTCATGTCTGCACTTGGGCAATACTTGATCGTCTCTCGTGATGAAACATGAACAAGAGCTGGTTGGACAATATCAATGGCCTAAGTTTATAAACTTCCTAAGTAGTCCCCAGTTGTGATATGCAGTCGAACATGCGGCAAGAAGGATCAAGCCTTCTTGACTCTCATTAGTCTGTTGCAGAGGGCCTGTCATAACATGTGGAGCTCTGTGCAACGCTGAGCTAGCTGAAACTATATCTTGGAAAACAACGGCCCATGAACCTATAATCTCGAGGCTCTGGACGGGCCATTCAACGGTGCAGACGGGTTGCCACAGGTCTGGAACCACACCAGGTGCTATCTTTGCGATGACAAAGTACGTCTTATCTATTGTCAACAGTATGAGGGGAAAGTGGGGTTTCCGGCGGGGGTTCGGCCAAGCTCGAGAAGGAAACGGCACCAAACGCGTCTGGTTCGCCTCAGTAACCTATCGTTAACCTTGATCAGTCTTTCCATCTACCGCTACATTGGAGTTTCCCGAGAAATGCCGGGGCCTATGAGCCCACACATGCAGAGGATGCTATCATTGACCCCACTCTCCGTCATGTCGTCCCTTCGCAAGGGTGAGTGTTCAGGGAAAGGATGGGATGAATGGCTTGGGGTTGATGATCTTAGTCCTCACATGCTAATCACCACTATATTAGTCAAGACTCATTGGGAGCAGCTAACGCCTACCTATGTCGGGTACATTTCCAGAGGAACATTAAATGGTCTGTAAACTGATTCAGCTTGACATTGACTCGACCTTTTACAAGCCGAGCGCGCGCTATTGGTACTGACAGTCATACTTTTACCGAAACCACCATGGTCGCTCTTGAGATCCCCATCATTGACTTTTCAGGTGAGTAAACTCAGCCAATTTTCCTCGTCAAGGATGCCTGAGATTGACATCACATGCTTGCAGGGTTCTACTCTGAAAACCCGTTGCAGAAGCAGAAAGTCGTTGATCAAATCCGTGATAGCTGTCTTTACAATGGGTTCTTTCAGATCATCGGTCACTCTGTGTGTCTCGCGCAGCAGAAGGCCGCTATGAAAAACGCCAAGAAGTTCTTTGCGCTTCCGCTTGAAGAAAAGCAGAGAGTGGCCAAGGAGAACACCACATGGAACCGCGGCTACGAGATGCTCAGATCACAGATACTTGAGGAAGGGACCCATCCCGAGCTCAAGGAGGGCTTCTACATTGGAGCAGAAATCCCCGAGACCCACCCCTACTTTATCAACAAGAAGCTGAACAGCGGTCCTAACCAGTGGCCGGCGGGTCTGGGGAATAACTTGCAAAGTTTCAAGGAGGCCTCGATGGATTACTACTCTTCGGCG